GGTTGCGCACTGCGGCGTCCTGGAAGTAATGGAGCGTGTTACTTCCGGGTTTTGCCGCTCGCACATGCGCAGATGCTCAAAATGACGTCACGTGCATGTGCAAAAGCGGCGAATCATGACGTGCGGGTTGCGTTTGCTTCTGCATAGAGGTACCACTGTAAACTAGAAAATAACAATTGCAACTGTAGGTTTTATTTTTCCTTCTTTTAATAATTTCAATGGGAGGGGGGACAAGAAATTTCCCGCCCCGGGTACCACCTGACCTTGTTACGCCACTGCGAAGGGCCTGGCTGTTCTTCCCCTGCAGGAGGGGCCTGAGCATCCCCCATGGCCTTTTCCCACAGAAGCTGCAGGGCTTGGGTCACGCAGCTCTGGATTTGCCCCGAGAAGCCTGTGAGGAAGGGAAACCAGAGCATCATGCGGGGACAGGAAGCGAGCAGGGACTCAGCCCCAGGCAGGGATTTCCAGCTGCCTCTTCTGAGCGGAGCGAGCTGGGCTGAGCACTGAGAGATGCAGCCCTCCGAGGAACCTCGGACTGCCCCATGCCAGACAGCGGAGTGCCAGGGGGGACCCCATTTCCCCCCTGGCCTGGAGGAAGGAGGCCTGGCTTGCGATTCTTTGGGTGAAAGCATGCCTTCGTTTCCTTTGGACGTTGCTTTTCCATGAAAAGAGTCATATCCAGAGCTGAGTTTCAAAACCAGATACCGCAAAAAGCAATTTCGTAATAACTGTTAACGGAGGACATGGCTGACCACTGGCACTGGGTATGCGTGGGCCGTGAGGGCCTTGCTTATGGTACATTTGTAGTCTGCGCAGATGCAGACCGAACCATTAGGCTTGACGGGTGTGACGATCGGGGTTTCCCAGGGGGCGTTAGGCACAGGCTCCAGCACTCCTTGCTCCATGAGCCGGTCCAATTCCGCATCTATATGGGGTTTCAGGGTGAACGGGACCCGGCAGGCCTTGAGCCTGACAGGATCGTACTGTAGGGCAATGGGGGGCCCCGTATACTGTCCCAATTTCCCATCGAAAACCCCTGGAAATTCCTTGCATATGGTGTCCACGTCCATTTGTAAGCTAGTGCGGTTCACCCCAGTGATGGCTAGCCCCAGTGGTTCAAACCATGCCACTCCCAGTAAGCTAACTGATACGGAAGGGGGGGCATGTCTTCTTCACCTTCTTCTTCGCTACAATATATCCATTTATTTCCGAGTCCAATTGTCAATGTCAAAAGGGACTAAAATCTATAAAATTCATAGAAAATCAACGTGCCAATTTGCTCAATTTCTCTAGGACTTCATGACACCTCCCCTGTCCTCCATAATCCCTCAAGCAAGGTGTCAAGACCCTAATCCTGCCAAATCACTCTGCCAAGCCTTTCCTCCGGGCAATGCCAGGTGGCAGACTATGCATACATGGACCACTGTCTTCTCATCACCGGTACTCAGGATGTGCTTATCTGCACATATCTCCAGCTCTGCATATTCCTCCTCCCTCCTCCATATGTTAATCCTGTGTAACCCAACCTCTTCTTAATGTATTCATGATGTAATCTGTGTAACCCAACCTCTTCTTAATGTATTCATGATGTAATCTGTGTAACCCAACCTCTTCTTAATGTATTCATGATGTAACTGGGATGTGTTTTGCACTGTATTCTGGGACATGGAGGGAAGTTTCAAAAGTTCATGTCACCCCTTTCTCGCTGTTCAATCTTGCCTTGAACCTGTTGCGCAATAAACTTGGATCTTCTGCAGCTTGCTCCTGTCTCCGGCTGAGCTCATTTTCCTCCGCAGGGACCCGCGGACTTAGTCTGACGAGCTGGGTGGCAGAGCAGCCTTGCACCCAGATTTTACCATAACACTAACGTAGGGGCCCTTGACCACAAGCAAGTCCAGCTGCTGCGTCCGCCGTCGATATTGCACCCTGAAGGTCCCCACCCCCATTGTGGGGACCTTATGTTTCTGGAAGTCCCGGAGGGTGAATGGGGCTGGCCTGCATTTGGGACCCCCACTAGGACACAGTTTCCTTAAGGTCCCTGCCGAGATTATGGATAGAGTTGAACCCATGTCAAGCTCCATCCGGCCCAGGGCCCCCTCTATCTGTACCTCTACATGAATTTTCTCTATCTTGGGGTGGGGCAACTGGTATACCTGGCAGTCCGTGATCTCCGTCCAGTTGCCTTGGTGCGTTGGGCCCCGGGGTTCTTGGATCGGTCATCCGATGAGTGGCGTCGGGTGGGCCGAGCCCGACACACCCGGGCGATGTGTCCCGATTCTCTGCACTGCCTGCACTCTGCGTTGCGGAAACGGCAGGTCCTCCTCTCGTGACTCTCCCCGCAGCTTGCGCAGTTCCCTCCTTCTTGTTGAGGCAGCTGTGGTCTGTGCGCTGCTTGCGTGCGCCGAACTCGGTGCACCTCCTCCCTGTCGGATCCTGAGTCGTCAGCGAGGTCTCCGTGGTGGACCCTCGGTTGGGGCAGCCATGCCTTTTGCGCTGACCTCTCAGCAGCTTCCGTTGCCAGGGCCTCCTCCAGAGCGACCTGGAACGTTAGGTCCTTCTTGGCATAGAGGCATCGTTGCAGCTTCTCATCCTTCAGGCCACCGACGAGACGATCACGAAGCATGTTCTACAACTCTGAGAAGTTGCAGAACCGGGCAGCTTGGCGTAGGGAGGTCACAAACCCAGTTATGGTTTCCCCAGGGGCTTGCCGCTTTGCATAAAGGCATTTCGACGAGCCACCACCAAGGGCTGTGGCGAGAAGTGTCCCTTCAGCCATTCAATTATTGTTTTGTATGGAACAGTAGCGACGTCTTCAGGCGCAAGGAGAGCCCGGGCGATTTTGAACGTCTCCTCTCCGCAGACGCTAAAGACTAACGCCTCTTCCTGGCGTCTTCTTCGTCAGTGACTCCTTTGGCTTCTAGGAGGAAGGTGAAACGGGAGGCGTACGCTTCCCAGTCTCCGGATGCTGGGTTGAACGGCGAGAAGCTGCTGTCGGTTGTCATTCTCAGTTCCTTGGGTCCCGGAGATGAAGCCTGGGTACACGGTGCGAGGCAGCGGTGCGGCAGGTGGCGGTGCTGCGGTGCTGTGTGTGGCAGTCAGCTCAGCGGGATCCCATCCTCGTCGCCAGTGAAATATACTCAGTCGAGAGTGGATTTCATGCTCTTTATTCAGCTCATAGTGGTGAGGAGGAATGAATATTTCCCCAAAGTATCTGCTTTATATACATTATTTACACAATGGGCCCCACGTGATTGGCTAATTCCGGGATTCACCTGTAGGCCAATCAGGTTGTGGATTCCCTTCCACCTGGAGCTGGATTGGGTGGCTCCTGTGGACCAATCAGACTGCTGCATTCTGGATCCTATTCAACTCAGTACATACACCCTCCCTAGGCCAGTCTAGGTACAAGGGGCCACCTGCACCTCTCTATTTATACCTCCAGCCCTCTCCTCAGAAGATGTTCAAGATGACTCACAGACAAGAGCAGCTGCAAGGTGGGGGGGGAAATCCCCCGCTCCCCAAAAAACCTCACACTTTGGTGCTTTCCTTCCTTTATTGCCCGCCCTGCACCCCAAACATCCCAGGGCAGCTTGCAGAAGAGCATCGAAGAATGGGAGGGTTGGAAGGGACCCCCAAGGGACATCTAGTCCAACCCCCAGCCATGCAGAAACCGCAGCCCAAGCAACGGTTTAGGGAAGCTTTTAATGTCTGATGATTCTAGACTCAGGTAGGTAGCCGTGTTTGTCTGACACAGTCGAAATAAATAAATAAAATGTCCATAGAATCATAGAATCATAGTTAGATCCAAGATGTAACTGAACGACTGCAAGGAATCATAAAACCCACTGACAAATACCCCTGCCTCTTGGTTCATGTGGGAACCAATGACACTGCAAGCAATAGCCTCCAGAAGATCAAAAGAGACTACGAGGCTCTGGGCAGGAACACCTTAGAGACCAGCGAAGTTTGTTCTGGGTATAAGCTTTCGTATGCATGCACACTTCTTCAGATACCTTCTGGTACTTCTTCAGATACTTCTTCAGGTATCTGAAGAAATGTGCATGCACAAACCCAAAACAAACTTAAAAGGGTAAAGGGTAAAGGAACCCCTGACCATAAGGTCCAGTCGTGACTGACTCTGGGGTTGCGGCGCTCATCTCGCTTTATTGGCCAAGGGAGCCAGCATTCAGCTTCCGGGTCATGTGGCCAGCATGACCAAGCCGCTTCTGGCGAACCAGAGCAGTGCACAGAAACGCCGTTTACCTTCCCGCTGGAGTGGTACCTATTTATCTACTTGCACTTTGACGTGCTTTTGAACTGCTAGGTTGGCAGGAGCAGGGACTGAGCAACGGGAGCGCACCCCGCCGCGGGGATTCGAACCCCTGACCTTCTGATCGGCAAGTCCTAGGCTCTGTGGTTTAACCCACAGCGCCAGTTGGTCTCTAATATGTGATAAATTATTGCATTTTAATATTTTGTTGGAAGCTGCCCAGAGTGGCTGGGGAATGAATGAATGAATAAATAAATAAATATTATTATTATGACTAAATCTCTGGCTGGTGGCCCTTGGGTTGGCCTGGAAACAGGCGCTGCATCAAGAAACAGCATTTTTCAAAAGGAAAAATCAAATTAAATCAATAAATTACACTACATCCCCCCCAAAAATATTCCACCCATCCTGGGCGCCTTTGAGGGTCACAGGCCGAGTGCAGAGGCAGAAGGAGCAGGAGGGCGGCCCGCGAAGGGCTCCCACGCGGCCCTCGACCCCCCCGCCCAAGGGAGCAGCGCGGCTCGGGCGCCCCCTGGAGGATGAGAGAAGCCGCTGCAGCAGAGCAGGGACGGGGCAGGAGGCGGGGCGGCGCGAGGCCCGTCCATCTGCGGCGCCCGAGAACCTCACTGGCTGGAGGGATGAGGGAAAGGCGGGACCTGCGCTCCCATTGGCTCGCTCGCCGCGAGAGGCCCACCGTGCTTTGCGTGCTCCATTTTGAAGCGGCCCCGCCCCGCCCGCGCATGCGCCGTGAGGAGAGCGCCAGAGGCCGTGCGCTGCGCTCGCTTGGCCCGCTCGCCGTCGTCGCGGCCGCCGCGGAGTATCCGGTGAGTGGCGGAGGCGGCGACCCCGACATCCCCCCCCCAGTGTCCCGTCCGCGGCCCACAGAGACCCGCCCTCGTCGACAGGGAGGGGCCCCGTTGCCTCGGCAACCCCCGCAGGCCCGTCGCTTGTGCGCGTGCGCAGTCCGTTGCGGGGGGGGGAGGGAGCCGTGGGGGCGCGCGCCTCTCTCTCCGTCTGTCTAACTCTCTCGTGCACGCGCATCTCGTGGGCCCCGCCCTCTTCTCGCGCCGGGGGAGGGGGCCGCTTCTGCGGCTGCGCGGTTTGGCGGGGCCGGGACTTTTATTCTGGTGGGGGGGCGAGAGGGGGTGGGCGGAGCCAGGAAGGTCACGTGGGAGTGGAGAGGGCCCAGGCACCCCGAGGTCATCCAGCCTGACTCGCGGGCGATGCGGGAATCGGCAGCCCGAAAACGGGAAGGGAACACGGCGATCAAGGACTGCAAAGTGTTTTACATAGCCGTAGTCAACGTTTTTCTTTCTTTAAAGGAAATTCCCTTCTTCCGAATAGGATTCCTGGCAAGAAAAGGGAAACGTTGACAGCTGTGTTCGCTGTGAACAAGTGAACAGATTAGCAGGACTTGGATAAATTCAGCAGCATAAGAGGAAGGAGGAGAGAGATAGTAGAGCTTGGGAACTTGGAATAAGCAAAAGAGACCAGAGAAGGAGAGGAATGGAAGCCCTTAGCAGGCCTGGCCAAACTCGGCCCTGCAAGTGTATTGGGACTACAATTCCCATCATCCCTGACCACTGGTCCTGCTAGCTAGGGATGATGGGAGTTGTAGTCCCAAAACAGCTGGAGGGCCGAGTTTGGCCATTCTTCAAGGTGTTCTTGTGTTCAGACCTTGGATTGTTGTGGTTTCATTTTCATTTTTCTCCTTTCCTTCTTTCCTCCTTCTTTTTGAACTGTATGTAAAATGCAAATGAAAAGTACTTAAAAAAAAAAAAAGAAATTTGGGCTAAAGAATAGTAGAATCCTTGAGTTGGGAGGGACCCCAAGGGTCCTCTAGTCCAGCCCCCTGCAGTGCAGGTATCTCAGCTCAGGCATCCAGGGCAGATGGCCAGCCAGCCTCTGCTTAAAACCCTCCAAGGAAGGAGAGGCCACCACTTCCCCAGGGAGTCCATTCCACTGTCCAGCAGCTCTTACAGTCAGAATTTTTTCCCATATGTCTATAGTTGGAATGTCCCTTTCTGCCACTTGCCAAGTGTGTTCTCCCAGTGGCCAGCCAGATCCCTGGCAGATGCAGACAGCCACCCCACCTCTCTGCTTAAGAGCCTCCAGCGAAGGAGATTCCACCGCCTTTCGAGGGAGCCCCTTCCATCATAGAAGGCGCTTATCCTCAGGAAGTTCTTCCTGATCTTTAGTTGGCATCTCCTTCCTTGCAGTTGGAGTCTGTTGCATCAGGTCCTCCCCTCTGGAGAAGCAGAAAGCAAGCTGGCTGCATCCTCCATGAGACAACCCACCAGAGATTTCTCCTCTCAGTCTCTCCTCCAGGCTAAACACACCCAATTCCCTCAACTGTTCCTCACAAGGTTTGGTTTGCAGACCCTTGAGCATCTCACCTTGTCTCTAGGACTAATTGCAGTCATTAACAGTCACAGGTTTACCATATGCATTGAGTCAGTCACTCATCTCCTACTACCCTACTGAGAAAAACCCCACCCCACCCTCCCACTATATATAAGGGTCTGGTGACTTCTGTTTCAGGGTATCTGAAGACGTGACACGAAAGCTTATACCCAGAACAAACTTAGTTGGTCTCTAAGGTGCTACTGGACAATTTATTATTATTATTAGAATAGTGCTGTTAGTTCCTTTGATCGTGACGCGAGGCCTCTGAGATTGTAGTTCTTTAGCTGTGATTCCTGCAGTGGGTTTGACTACAGGACGCTTGAGGTCCCCCCTAACTCTACAGTGTTCGGATTCCGTGATCTAGCACAGCACATTGCAAATGCTGTGTCTGGCAGGAAAAACAATAGTGGTCTGTCAAGAAGACCCCCAGCAGTTTACAAGGGATCCATAGGAAAAACATTTAGGATCCCCTTTTCTACCTCAGTGAAATTTATTTGTGATGGAAAGGTCTCTGGTCCCCTGACACGGTGCTCCATGTAGCTCTGGAGAATCTTGATGCTTTTTAAAATCCTTCCATCAGGAAGTTTTGCCTGTGATTTTTTGTTAAGATAGCTGAGGAGGGTTCTTCCTTCTTCCTGCTTCCTTTGCTGCTGAGGTATAAAAAGGGGCAAATTGCTTCAGGCCTAGCTTGAAAAGTTACATGGTTTTACAGAAATGAAATATTAACCCCACTTTGCAATTAGATGGACTGGTTGGATTTTTTAAAATAAATCCTTAAATAACAAATCCATGCTGTAGCAATTTTGGAATTAAAAGTCGTAGAAAAAACTAGAGATGTTGGTGTTAGACTTTTTTCAAAAGAGAAGGACCGGGACGCAAGGTTGACAAATAGTTCTGCTAATTTCTCAAGCTCTGTGTGTGCGTTTTGCTGGTTGCCGGGCTCCCCTGGCAAAGTTCTGCTTTGGATAAGGAATTCCCAGGTTGCGCTTCAGAAGTGTGTTACTTTCTTAGTTCACAATTCTGGACCCAACTAGATGTGACGATGGAGAAGTTTGACTATATCTTGTCTTTCAGCATATGCAAATAGCATCCCGTGAGCCAAGTCAGAACTGCTGGGAGCTTCGCATTCCTTGGCACTCCATTTTCCACATCTCTGTCATCATGCCTTGTTGCAGTCTCAGTTGTCGCCTCTATGCAGACATTTTGCAAACTCGATGAAGAGGTTTGGCAAAAATGGGCGGCACCGAGAATGGTGCACCCAGAGGATGCATATAGTCAGTTGTTACCTGTTGGCAGGAGGCAGCAGAGAAGGCTAGCTAAGAATCTGAGACTTGGCTAAACTGTTAAACGTTGCAAGTGGAAATGCTGAGCTGCATCATGGCGGACGGAAGGAAGGGTGTGTCACAAATCATAGCTAGACCTCGCTATTGTGCAGGGACACCAGATCACATTTCTGCGGGAAGAAGGTCAAGCTGAGCATCCCTGGAATGTAGGCAATGGATTGTAAATACAGTGGTACCTCGCAAGACGAATGCCTCGCAAGACAAAAAACTCGCTAGACGAAAGGGTTTTTTGTTTTTGAGCTGCTTCGCAAGACGATTTTCCCTATGGGCTTGCTTCTCAAGACGGAAACGTCTTGCAAGTTTGTTTCCTTTTTCTTAACACCGTTAATACAGTTGCGACTTGACTTCGAGGAGCAACTCATAGAACGCGGTGTGGTAGCCTTTTTTGAGGTTTTTGAAGACTTTGGTGATTTTTGAAGCTTTTCCAAAACTTTCCCGACACCGTGCTTCGCAAGACGAAAAAAATCGCAAGACGACAAAACTCGCGGAACGAATTAATTTCGTCTTGCGAGGCACCACTGTATTAAGGGCCAGCATGGGGGTTGTGCTGCCCTCATGGGGCTTGATTAGGAATAGCATCGCATTTTGTCATAGTCCTCACTGAGCTGGGAGCTGTAATTGGTTGTGGAAAGTGTTGTGTCTACAGAATTCAGGAGCTGCTTTGGGCTAATACTGTTAAGTTTCTCGTTTGCTTACCTAAAGAACTACTCTATTGAAATGAGTATTTGGGTTTCATCATTTTAAACATTAACTAGGAACGTATTTAAACATTCTGAAAGAGCCAATATTTCCAGTGTACCTACTCATTCTCCCCACATTTCCCCTCTGGCCTTTCCCATCTCTTGGACCTGCTGGGCCCCCCACCTCTGGAAGGCTAGAGCCAGACTCTGATCCCCTCACAATCTGAAATCACGGCTGGCCTCACTGAAGACAAGTAAGTAGCATGGCTTTTGACACAGAACATTTTGATGCGCCTGCAGTCCTTCAGGAGCAGAAGAAACACTCTTCTCATAAGCTGCCTGCCTTTGATTTAAGATGGGAGGCAGCCTGTCATCTTGTGTGGGTACCTAAGACCGAATGTGAAAGGGGGGGGGCTTTGTCTCTCCGGCATACTACTCAATAAAAGATGCTGTGGACCTTGACCTCCAAGAGTGTTTTTGGCTCTGCCTTTGTCATCCTTTCAGCTCTCTCTGGGTGTCTTGTCTTCAGTCCCCGTCCCCCCAATACACACCAGCGGTGCTTAAACTTTGTGCCAGTATGTTACACTGAGCTCCCCAGTGTTCAGCCTAAGCTGCTGCCCTATCGTGGACTTTGTTTTTCAAATCCTGCATGGACCCCCCTGCTCATTCCCTGTGGAAAAGGCAGCTTTCAGATCTTCAGTGCCAGTCTTCACAGGTAAGCTGAGGCATGTTGGGGGGGGGGTCCTTTGAAGAGCCCTTGAAGAAGTCCCTGGACACCTTGTGCCACTCGAGTTGGGCGAGAGCCAGCCGAGAGTGTTGACGGAGCGGAAACCGCTGCCGTGCAATGACTGGCAAACGTGCAGTTTGACCTGGAGGCTGGATTGCTGCCAGCATCGTCTCAACAGCTCCAGAGGTGGAAGGAAAGGAGGGGAGCAGCGAGCTGGGCCTGGCTGTGGAGCAAAGCAGGTTGCATGGAGGAGCAAGACGTCCACCAGCGGAAAGGCTGCAGCCCCCTGCGTCGGCGCCTTTGCAGTTCCAGATTTGTACAAGCTTCCAGGAAGGCGAGAGGTTCTTCAGCCACACAGTAAAAATGGAAGAGTGAAAGAGAGGATGCCAAGAAGGGTTCCAGATAGTTTTCGCAAGCAAATTTCAGGGTTTCAATTTATGCTGTTTGACAAAGCGAGCAGGAAAGAGGTGAGAAGATACAGTTGACTGAGGGTCAACGTACAAGTGTGGACGCTTGAGATGTTTCAGAGAGATCTCATGATGGGACAGGAGGCAACCTGATGTGACAATGAATGTGCAGTACCCGTTGTTAGAGCAGTGTGTTAAAGGGCCCACTGAGGACTAGCTCCATAGGGGTGGTTCTTAATCAGATACTGCCATCGTCTTGCCTCGGGGCCCGATCCATCACTTTCTTTTCAGACTCGAGAGTGAACTTGGGCAGTAAACACATTAGGATGGCATGGGACCCCAAAGCGCAGGATCTCTTCCACCGATTATGTAAAGCAGAAAAGGCAAGTAGGCAAACTTGGAGCCTGAGGGGCATGTAAGAAAAGGGGCCTCTTTCCAAAGCAAGGCAGGAGGCTTTTGGTCTGACCCTCAAATGCACGACACATTCAGACATTACTAAATTTAAGGGCTAGGCTTGGCTGTGTGGAAATAGCACCAGCCCTCTGCTATTACTATCTGATGAGAGGTTTGAAAAGGGACAGCCACTCCCATAGCAAAAGATCTACCTGTCAATGAGTGGGAGAAAGTGGCTCAGAAGGGGTGACTCCATGGCAAGAAGGACTGGATGCCTGGGCTTCCTTCCCCACTCCCCACCAAAAGGAAAGTTGCCATATCTTCAGGGTTACGTTTTCCTTTTGCTGCAGAAAAGCATTACAGGAGGGCTGGTTCTTCTTAGGCTTTGGGGAAATGGAGCTGGTCAGCTGTTGAAAGGGCTGCACCTCCAAATATTTTATTCTAAATATTTACTAGGTTCCCTACGATGGTGATAGAAAACATGGTAGGAATTGTTGGCTAGAAAACATGGATAGAAAACATGGAAAACAAAGCAATGTTAGAAAACATCTAACATTGTTGGATAGAAAACATGGTAGGAATATGCATCTGATTTCCCCCCCCCAGTTCTTTTTTAGAGAATCTCGGTATGCAGGATTATAACACTGATATCTCGCTCTAGCTAATCTAAATAAATCTATAAAACTATCAAGTTCAGATGTGTTTTTTAATTGTACCTTTGAGTGGTTAAAAATACAGAATGCGTTGATAGTCACTCTTTTACACCCAGCTAATCGAAGAAATGGGCTAAAGCATTTCTCTCCCAGTTTTCCAGCTGTGGTGTGTTGTTGTTGTTGTTGTTGTTGTTGTTTGGGGGGGTAAACAAACTGCACCTTCTCCAGGGCTGTTGTCTTTCTCCCACCCATCTATTTTGGGGGGTGGAAGAAGGTGGCTTTTGACCCTGTGGACCCGCCGCCTCTCCTGCCCATCTCCTTTCCACGTGCTCTGACTTCTGAGATGCTCCAGCCCCAGGTGAGAGGGAGGCTTGTGCGGTTGGACCTCCCTCTCTCGGGTTGGGCCTCTCCTGAGATGGTCCTTGCTGTGACTTCTGGGTGCGGTATCTAAAAGAAAAAGAATGAAAAGGATTTCCTCTTTTCAGAACTATTGCTTTATGCATGTGTAACTTGATTCAGGCCTGGTTGTTTTCAAACTTCTGGTTGACAGCCCTGGGTATTATCACGTTGCAGCCCAGTAGTCTGATCTGGAGATGTGTGTGTTCTCTCCCCCCCCCGCCCTCCGTTTCAGTACCTTCATTGGCCTTGTGGCGTAGCTCCAGCACCCTCCTGTCCCTTCGGATCCCTTTCCTCCTGAGCAGTTGCGTGCTGAGCGAACGTGGCTTTGGGAGCCCAGCTTGCTTCACAGCAACCGGGGTGGGGGCTGGTTGGCCGCCTGCCGGGTTTGCCTGGGCTTTGGCCTCTGTTTCCAGCCTGTGCCTTTGGGTCAGTTGGAGCAAAAAGCTGGCTCCTTCCTTCCTGGAGCTTGCAATTGGAGGATGCCGTCGGCCGACAACTTCACTGTACTGTATTCCTGATGTAATAAAGGTTGTTTCAGTGACAGCACCTCGTGGCGTGGTCTTCCTTGCACCCTCTGGCCGCCTTTGAACGTTGATGCTTTCTTTTCAATATGCTGACGATCTTTTCTTTGTTCCATAGCATTGAACAGACGGGTTGATTATTCTTTTCAGATATTAATAAAGCAGCGGGAAGAAGAAATATGAATAAGGCTCCCTCAAGGTCCAGCCCAGCACGAAGGTAAAGTACCGAGAAGCATCAAGTTCCCCTAGGAGTTTGGGCTCAGGGCAGAAGTGCACCTTCCTCCGCGGACGGTGGAGCTTCTCCTCCGAAGGGAATCCCACGAGGATTCTGCGATTCTTCCTGGTTGCAGCCTTCCAGGCGGCAAGATCGTTTTGCCGCCAGGCTCCTCCCAAGCTCGGGGCAGGTTGCGGGCAAGGAGAGCTGCAGCCTGTGTGACTCGAGGCGTCTCTGGCGAGCGCTTCGGAGTCGAGAGCGTCCCTCGGGCTGTACCACGAAGGAGAGGGCAGCAAGATTCCTTGCGCCCAGGGGTGAGGCTGCATGCCGGGGAGCGCTTCCTCCCCCCTCCCCGTGCTGGCATGCTTTTCTGTTGCAGCGGCATTGCCCCCGAAGAGAGGGGCACAGATAACATCATCTTGGCAAGAGGATCCTCCTGGCCCCTCTTGGCGCTGCGTCACTGTGTGCCCATCGTGCACGGGCACTTCTCTTGGCACCGGACAGAGCTGTACACAAGCCCCAGACCTGGCTGCCGCTTCTGCTAGTTCAGGAGCCAGGACATCACCGGGGTGCCAGTGGCCAAGGCGCAAGCGGAAGCCGGAGCATCACCCTTGATGTTAGTGGCTAGCGCGCTAGCGTACACCAGGGCACTGCTTTGCTCTGAGCGCTGTGGGCAGAGCGCACGCGAGGGCCAGGCATGGCATTGCTGTGAGTGTCGGAGGGGGGGATGAGCGGAGAAGGGGGCACGTGGCCACAACCTGCCTGAGCTCTGGCCCTACCAGGGGTCTGCCTGTACCTCTGGAGCCTAGCGAGGGCGTTCGCAGACCTACATGGGAGGAGGGTGCTGGCTTTCTCCCCAGGGAGGTGCCCTTTCTGGCTCTGTGGCATTTCTTGGGTTCCCCTGTCAAGAGCGCAGTTCAGCTGAGCTTGCTGAAATCCATTTCAAACGCCACTCGTATGAAGCCTGAAGAAAACATGAGAAGTGCTGCCACCATTCCTGAGCCTGGGGAGAACGAAGCTTGGGAACTGAAATAAAGAACCGTTGCTCAGTGCGTGAGTTCTTGGTAACGTCCAGGGTTGGCCCTGCGTCCAAAGGGTCCTGTTTTATTGCGTACACATCACTGACGGCTCCGCTTGGCTCCAGACGAGGAGTCCTCCGACTGTCCCACTTCCTTAACTTCTCCAGGCATTCTGCCTGTCCACATTCTCCTACTGTCCACAAGGTTTGTTCCGTAAGATGCGCTGCTCTGTGGTCCGGGACCACCTTCTTTTCCGAAACGTGAGAGCTCCCCTTCTCCTGCTGTACCTCCACAGGCTGTCACTCACTTCTTTTGTTTCCTGGTCTTGTTATACCTCTGTGGTTAGAAACAAATCCCGAGGGAGCTTTCTCCCCCATTGAGCGCTGAGCCCAGCCCAGGGGCGGATGTGGTGGTGGAGCCCATTGTCACTGCAGGCTCACTTCAGACCAACACAAAGACGTCTTGGGGGGGGAGCCCATCTAGATTAAGCTGAGGGGGTGCTCAATGCTGATAGGCTTGTGCGGGAATTGACCAAGGCCCCGTTGTCCCTGGGGTGATAGAACAATCTGGGCTGCACCACTGCGAACCGCCGGGGGGGACTTGGGTGGCTGAAGCCTCCTTCATCGGAATTCTTCCCTGCACGCAGAAAGCTAGGTGTTGGGAAGGCTCCGGCGCAGGCATCTCCGTGACAGGGTGGTTTTGTATGTGAGGAGAGGATCTTCTTGTGGGAAGAAGCGTTAGGTCACGCATCCCCCCACCAGTCTTGGAAGCAGGAGAGCCCAGCTGCAGGTTGGGCACTGGGGTGAGAACTAGGCCAGGATCCCTTTGCCTTCTGAAGCCAGGCTGCGGATAGTAGTAGCAGTAGCAGTAGTAGTTTAGTAGTAGTAATAATAATAATAAATTTATTACTTATACCCCACCCATCTGGCTGGGCCTCCCTAGCCACTTTGGGCAGCTTCCAACAGAATATTAAAAACACAGTATGACATCAAACATTAAAAGCTTCCCTAAACAGGGCTGTCTGTCCGTTGTTCCTCTCTCAAGTGTTCCTAGACTCTTGTTCCAGGAGGGGCCTTGCCTTGGCAGCTGGAGACGACCCTGCTGACGGTGCCCGCTGTCTAAAGAACTCTCCCCGGTGCTTCTTGCAGAGAGGCCTTGCCCTACGGAGAGAGAGATGGACGACGCGACCGCTCTCCAAACCGCCACAGCCTTCCAAGAGACGCTCAAGAGAGCCGGAATGGCAGAGATTCCCAGGATGCGCGGGTGAGAGATGTGCGCAGCAGCGGCAGAGAGCCGAGAGACTTCCGGGACCCCAGAGCCCTAAGGGACCCTCGGGACACCCGAGAGCCGCTCTACGAACCCTACAGGGAGCCTCCCTACAGGTATGCATATCCTGGGAGCCTCCTGGAGTGGCACAAGGGGGGGTGCTGTTGGGAGTGGCGCTTGGCTGCTGCAGTCGGAACATGTCTCCCCGTGTCTGCCTTGCAGGCGAGAGGAGGGCTATGACCGCTATGCGCGCCCGGACGACTATTACCGGAGGAAGGATGACCAGTACTACGACCGCTACCGAGACCAGTTGGACAGACCCACCGTGAGCACTGAAGGTGGCTATCGGATCCGTCCGTCCATCCGAGGCTGGTGGGAGCGGGGTGGGCGGTCCTGCCAGGAAGGGGAGGGGGCCAGGTGAGATTCTCCGCCCTGACCCTGGTGACTCTTCCCTCAGAGCGCATGAAGCGGGAGGAGCGGCGCCGGGAAGAGCTGTATCGCCAGTTCTTTGAGGACATCAAGCGGCGCATTGATTCGGAGCGGCCAGTGGACTGCTCAGTGATCGTGGTCAACAAGCAGACCAAGTAAGAGCTTGTCAGGCGGGGCCACGGCCCTCACTGTCCCCCCAGTTGCTGCTCCTGCATTCTGGCTGTTGTGGGGCTGGTGGTTTGGCTCTTTCTAGTCCCGACCGCTTCATGGCATGACGCCCTCAGAGCAGGTGCACACAATAAAAGAGAGCGAAACGCAAAAGCGCAGGCTCTATGAGTAGTAAATGAACCCACCAGATTCTGAAAGAATCAAACCATCTCTACAAACGCCGAAAACAAGGGAGCCATTTCATCTTGGCTTTGCTGGCCAGATCCTTGTCAGATTCTAGCCTTGTGGGCCCCATGTGATGGGTGCATGGAGCCGCCCAACTGTCAATCACCTGACAGAGTTCTTTGAAGTCCCAAAGTTGGGACTGCAAAGCCCCACTCTGAGCTAGCAAAGAGCGCCTGAGGTTTCTGCTTTCCTGCACATTGGCTGATGGGCAATTGAGCTGAAAGCTGCTTCTGCAGTTGTTGGCTATGTGGGTGAGCAAATTCCTCCCCCCCCCCGCCCTCACTTGCCCAGCTGATCTGTCTGACAGGTGGCAGAGCCAAAGCCTGATTTCCCTTGCTAATGCAGAATCAAGAGGACCCTTCAAAGCTCCCAGTGGCCCCTTGGCAGCCATGTGCCTACCTGCCAGCACACCTGACGCCACATGGGATGTCAAGTGTGGGGCAGGCAACTGTGGTTTGGGGGAAAGGATCTTGAGGTCCAAATTTGAACCCCCGGCTGGCCATGTTTGCCCCACAAGTGGAAGATTCCTTACTCCTAACTTCTGTGTTCCACCTGGCGTATGATGAGGAAGCAGAGGCGCAGGCTCAGGTGCAGCGGCTTCTGTTTTGCGCAGGGAGTACGCGGAGTCCGTGGGGCGCAAGGTGCGCGATCTTGGCATGATGGTGGACCTGATCTTCCTCAACTCGGAGATGTCTTTGCAGCAAGCCCTGGACGACGTGAGCAGAGGGGGCTCTGCCTTTGCCATTGTCATCACCCAGCAGCACCAGATTCACCACTCCTGCACCGTCAACATCATGTTTGGCACCCCACAAGGTAGGGGGGCCAGGGAGGGGCTGCAGCTGCTGACGGGGCTTTTCCCACAGACACTTGTGTAGGTGGCTGAGAGCACAAGGGGGGCGAGCGAGGGGCTGCTTCTTCCCACAAAGGGGGCCTGTGCCCCAGAACCCACAGGATGCCCAAGTCCTGGAGGAGGAGGAGGGTGTCTGCTTTGGGTCTCCTGGCTTGTGAGAGCTGGAACCTGTGTGTGTTTTCAGAAGAATCCTAGAACTGTAGAGTTGGAAGGGACCCCGAGAGGCATCTAGTCCAACCCTGCCATGCAGGACTCTCAGCTAAAGTACAGTGGTGCCCCGCAAGACGAATGCCTCGCAAGACGAAAAACCCACTAGACGAAAGGGTTTTCCGTTTTTCGATGCGCTTCGCAAGACGATTTTCCCTATGGGCTTGCTTCACAAGACGGAAACGTCTTGCGAGTCTTGCGATTTTTTCCGCTCCCCCCCCCTTTTCTAAGCCGCTAATAGCCGCTAAGCCTTTAATAGCCGCTAAACCGCTAATAGCGCTAATCCGCTAAGGCGCTAATAGGGTTGTTTCGCAAGACGAAAAAACCGCTAGACGAAGAGACTCGCGGAACGGATTATTTTCGTCTTGCGAAGCACCACTGTATCCTGCATAGATGGCGTTCCAACCTCTGCTTAAAAGCCTCCTAAGGAAGGAGAGCCCTCCATTAAGAGGAAAGCCCCCCCCCTCAAAGCAGGGTGTCTTTTCACTGTCTCTCGCACAAATGTGTGCACCCACAGCCCCAGTTAATCAGCAAAATTCAAACTGAACTGAAACTTCAGAATTCCCTTTGCAAGAGGCAGGCAGACGCCAGAGCCCTCTAGAGTGGCAGGGGAGGCTTCTGGCTGCAGGGAGAGCAGCTCTCGGGAGACCCGGCCGGGAGGAGGGCTTTTCCTGCCGCTGTTTCCCTGGCGCCACGGGGGTTGCTCACGCACGACCTTTCCTGCCGCAGAGCACAGGAACATGCCGCAGGCGGATGCCATGGTTCTGGTGGCGAGGAACTACGAGCGCTACAAGACGGAGATCCGGGAGAAGGAGCGCGAGGTGATCGCCAGGCAGGCCGCCAAGATGGCCGACGAAACCATTCTGCAGGAGCGGGAGCGCCCCCAGCAGGGGGAGGAGGGAATCCGTGGGGGCCACCCTCCGGGCATCCAGACACTCCTGAACTTGCTGTGTGACAACCGCTACCTGACCTCTGAGGAGACAGACAAGATCATCAACTACCTGAGGGAGCGCAAGGAGCGGCAGCTGAGAGCCACCACGGACTCCCATCCAGGTAAGTTCTCCGCCAGGGAGGCGAGAGGAGCTGGTCAGGGACGCCTGCCCTCCCCACCTGCTTGAACCAGTCCTGCTGCGTTTGGGCCCCTCGAAAGCACTACGTGGGGCTACCTTTGAAGGTGACTCCGAAGCTGCAATTAATCCAGAATGCGGCAGCTAGACTGGTGACTGGGAGTGGCCGCTGAGACCATATAACACCAGTCCTGAAATATCTACATTGGCTCCCAGTACGTTTCCCAGCACAATTCAAAGTGTTGGTGCTGACCTTGAAAGCCCTAAACGGCCTCGGCCCAGAATACCTGAAGGAGCGTCTCCACCCCCATCTTTCTGCCCGGATGCTGAGGTCCAGCGCCCAGGGCCTTCTGGCAGTTTCCTCCCTGTGAGAAGTGAGCTTACAGGGAATCGGGCAGAGGGCCTTCTCGGTAGTGGCGCCCGTCCTGTGGAACGCCCTCCCAGCAGATGTCAAGGCAATAAACAACTATTTTACTTTTAAAAGACACCCTGTTTAGGGAAGTTTTTAATGTCTGACACTGCATTGCTTTTGATATTTGGTTGGAAGCCGCCAAGAGTGGCTGGGGAGATCAGTCAGATGGGCAGGGTATAAATAATAAGTTGTTGTTGTTGTTCTGGCACTAAGCCTGTAGCAGGGGGCAGCTGGGGCTCCAGAGACTTAACCTGGCCTTTCCTTCCCCGCAGCTTCGCACACCCGGCAGCCCCTCGGAGCCTCTTCCGGGTCTTCTCTGGGCACCTCGGCCAGCCTGAGCAGCACCCAGAGCGCGCAGGCCCCCCCCTCGGCCCCCGTGGCCTCCACCCCCCAGCAGGAGCTGCAGGCCAAGATCCTCAGTCTTTTCAACAGCGGGGTGGCCATGGCCACGGCCAACAGCAGCTCGGCCACGGGAACCTCCCAGAACACCGGCTTCTCCGCGGGGCCCAGCACACAGATCCGGCCCAGCACCACCGGCAGCGGATTGGGCCAGTCTCAGCAGCGGGCCCCGGCCCAGGGCCCTCAGTTTTCCAGCCACGGGGGTCCCACCAGGGGGGCAGGCCCTCGGGCCGCAGCTCCTCAGGCCTCGCAGCCGCTGTACCAGAACCGCCCGCCAGCCCCCAGCAACGCTTCCGCCTCCAGGCCGGCGCCGTCTTCCGGGATCAACTTTGACAACCCCAGCGTGCAGAAGGCCCTGGACACGCTGATCCAGAGCGGGCCGGCCCTCACGCACCTGGTGAACCAGACTGTGGGGCAGGCGCGGGCCGCCCCCTCCTCCCAGCCGCAGCTGGGCTCCTACCATCGGCACTACTGAGGCCAAGGGCAGCTCTCTCCCGCCTCCTCTCCCCAAGGCTCCCCTTTGTGCATGCCCCTTCCCGTGCCCACCCTCCAGGAGGCCCCCCTCCCTCACTGGGGCTCTGCCGCCCCCTCTCCCCCTGCTGCAGGCGTGGGCAGCCTGCTCCTCCTCTCACACAGAGCCAGAAGGGCTGAGGCGAGTGGAGTGTCTTCCTTCTTTGCTCTAGGGCTCCCTCCGTTGAGGGAAGCTGCCTGTGGACTTCATGACCCCCCCTCCCCCGTTGCTTCTTTTCAGCAACAGCCACAGAAATGCAGCCCCAGGCCCTGCTGTGCAGCTCAGGCCCCTCCCTGCAAGAAAAGGGCCAAGGAATGTTTTCTCTATTGGGTGGTCCTGTTGCCCCCTTGATTTCATGTTGTACAAACTTGAATCTGCGTTGGAAACGGGGGTGTCTGTTCCTTTGCAGCTAGAGAGGCCTACTCATGGAGGTTACTCCTTAGCCCCCTTTCTGAAGCTGTAGATGTTCTGTTCTTGAATGGTTTTGTCATGTAGATTCCTCTGTATTGTTAACTGGAGGATGCCACTTTTTAATTAAAAAAAGGTATATATACACACACATCTGCATTAAAAGAAAATGGTTGCGGGTCTTTGCAGGCTGTTCCTGATGCCGCAGGAGGCCCTGAGCGTGTCTTCCTTGGGCACCCATCCTCCTCATGCCCCTGATGGAGCACCTGTGCTTATTGCGAGAAGCGCACTTCTTTTTCCAAAACGCTGCAGAGGAGGGTGTGTAGTTCAGGGGGTGTTTGCTCGTAGGTCAGGGGTCCCTCCCCCCCCAACCCCCTCTGGGGAAGAATGACAAAAGAGCCACCTGCAAGAGCCGGACCTCAGGCTCCCCACGTCCACAGGGGCTCCTCTGTAATTAACTAATTGGGAGCCCCTGTTTTTCAAAAGCCAAGCCACGGCCCCCCTGCTTTTGAAAATATCAATGACTCTAGAGTTCCCTGTGCAAAGCAATTTTTTGAAGAAAACACGGGGTGGCCCCGAATAAGCAAAGGATTTGGGGTATACTAAAAAGCAGACCACAAAATTTGTGATATTGCCACAAATTGCCTATCCCCAAGCAGTAGGAAAAACTTGTCTCCACTACAACTGAATTTTTTAAAAAGTGATTGTGTCCCTGACTTGCAAGTGCTCCATATGCCAAGTGTGTTTATGGAAGACAATCTTACTCGGCTGCGAGTGATCGAAGAAGAAGAAGATGATATATGAGAGTATTCAAACATGCTCTTCCATACTTGTAATCTGAAGTGGTTCATCTTAGCAAAACTTAGCAGCGTATGGTTTTGTTAACGGAGGGATCTTGCACCTTTAAGACATAGGCCAGGGCTTGATGAAGTATTGGGGAAGACCGAGTAGAAAGCAGCTGGAATTTTGTAATGTTGATGGTTTTGTAATGTTGGCCGTGTCGCCAACCAGGTGCCCCCACAGGAAAGCAGCAAGCAGGATTCGAGCGCCAGAGCGCCCTCCTCTGCTTCCAGCAGCTGATATTCAGGAGCACTGCTGCCTCTGAGCATAGTCATGATGGCTAGAAGTCCCCCTGTCCCCCCCCCCCAGCCCTCTCCGTGGATCATCTCAGGACACCGTCTGGCCCCCTGCCTTGCCGCTTCAGGGGCAGCTTCCTATATGTGGGCAGGTGGTTGTGTGTCAGGAGGCTGCCCCCCTGTTTGGATATTTTTAAGAAGTATAAAAAACAAATCTCTTTCACAGTGTCTCTCCCCACCCCCTGCCCAAAACGGGCTCTTCCCCAACAGAGGCTTGTCTTGCAGGGGGAAAAGGCGCCTTCAGGTTAGCTCTGCAATCTTGAGATCAAGTCCTTTGGGGAGAATGTGCACCAAGAGCCTCCCAGCGCAGGATTTTCATTCTGCTTTTTATTTATACAGCTTGCTAAAACGGTTTTCTAAACATTGGACAATAATTGTAAGAGCTCCTTTTTGTGTTTGTTGTAACCCCTGGCATCTCCAAGAGGGCCTGGCTGTTGGTCTTTCAGTGCTGGGGCGTGTGAGTCCCCCCCCCCCAGCAGTCTTTAACATCAGCAGTAACATCTAGACCATGGGAGCACTTCAGCCCTGTTCTTGAGTTTGTTTAAAATCCAAAAACAGCTTATCTTGTATTCCTTTCTTTGAATTTATTCCATTTAGGGTTTTTTTTAAACCTATTTGTAAAGGCAATACTAAAATTTTCACAGCTGAGTCCTCAACTCTTTATTAATGTGCTTGGCTTACTTCAAGTAGGGCCGTATCTAAAACTTGCCATTTAGGTTTTCAAACCTTTTTTGTAAACTCAGTTTTAGAAACTACCTTTGAGTCCTCAATCCTTTATGACTGCGCTCCTGCTCTCTAGGCTTGTTGCAGCGCCTGAACCCCACTCAAGAGCAGCTCCGTGCAGGAGAAACGGAAGCCGTTCCCGTGACATTCTCTGTGGGCAACGGCATTCTCTGTGGGACTGTGACATTCTCTGTGGGCAACGGCAGCCCAGTTCCCCTCCGGTGGAAGGGAACTGCAGCGTTTGCCCCAGCCCGGAGTCCCTCCCTGCGGATGGCAATGCAGAACAGCAAAGACCTCTTCCGCCCTATCCTGCCTCCAGGTCTTCAGCAGCTGTAGGTCAGTCACGGGGTGGCAGAACCCCAAGAGCCGTTTCCGAAGAGCCTTGTCTCCCCTCCCTGGGCCTTGTGAGCTGGGTCAGTGCAAGCAGTCGGGAAGGCAATTCTGGTTTCCTTCCAGCCTGCTCAGCACTGATCGACCGCTTGTAAAAATAAGAACCTAAGGTCCCGGATCAGGCCAGTTGCCCACCTAGTCCAGCATCCCGTTCTCTCTGTGGCATGTGGAATACCCCCCAGAAGCGTCCCACCACAAGACCACCTCCCCTTCTGCATGTGCATAGCTCTCATGACTGGAAGCCCCAGGGGATGCCCCTCTCCTCCAGGAACTCACTCTTCTAAAGTCACCTTGGTAGGTGACCATCGGTGCATCCAGCAGGGAGTTCCACGGGTTAACTATGTGCCGCTTGAAGGCGGACTCTGCGCACACGCAACATTCTCCTCCAGGACATAAGCAGGCCGCCCGCAACCAATGAAGGGTGTAATAAAATCCTTTTTATTGCATTTTGTGCAGACAGGAATCTAAAAAATAAAATACAGTAGAAGCGTCAACACAAGCAGTCAACAGAGGAGGAGCCACGACCCCATGGATATCTATCGGCATAGAGAACAGCGCGGGGGGGGGGGGCAGTAGCCAGGCAGCCCACAAACACTCGCACAAAAGTAGAGGCAAGCCTAACGCGCGTTCCTTTGGATCGGCAACCTGGTTTATTTACAGGGAGGAAACTGATCGGCGTTGCTTTGCACACACAAATCCCTAGAACACAAAAGCCTACGATGGAGGAGCTCACGAAAGCTATCGAAATATTGCACTCGAATCAAGAGTCACTTGGATGGACGTAAAACAGGTTAGCTACGGTGATCGGATTATAAAGGTTATTGGATGAGCCGACTCTGGTGGGAACATTCATTAACAAAGATATTGCACATGGAGCTGGGGGGGGGGAGTGTGTTTTAACCAACACAAATAGGGCCTCTGGGTCCTTCCCTTCTTCTCAGAAGCAGCATCTCTGAAGGACCGGGACTCTCCAAGGAGCGAGCCTTGGCCGGAGACCCCTTCTCAGTGCGCACGTTGGGGATGATTCAAAATTGCTTTCTCCTTTTTTGCTGTTTCTGAAGCTGGTCCCGTTTCCGCTGCAACCCCCTCCTCCAGCAGCGGTGCATGTCCTGGCCCCCCCCCCATCACAAGAGGACCCTGCGTTCTCCCCGGGCGGACGGGGCTGAAGGGGCTCCAGGGGAGAGCGGCACATGGGACACACACACACACAGGGGCCAAACGTGCAGGGTCAGAACGGGGGGTGTAAACTCGCATGCAGTGCCACCTGCTAAGCGTGGCCCTCTCCTGAGGGACTGGGAGATATGGGGGGGGAGTGGGGCAGCTGGGAGGGGAAGGAGCCAGCCATGCGGCGGCGGGAGAAGAAGACACCCCCCCAGGCCTTCTGGAGGTGGTGGGAGGGTCAGTCACACCCTCTGAACACCCCACATGGAAAGTGCGCCAGGAGGTGCAGGTGGGGGGGGGCAGACGCAACCCCACCAGGTGGGTGGTGCAGGGGCAGCGAGAGGCAGTCTAGCTGCTAGGGGTGCGGGCGATGGGAAGCTGCAAGCCCTGCATTGCAGGGGGTGGTCTGGAGGACCTTTGGGGGTCCCTGCCTTGCAGGGGTGTGGACTGGAGGACCCACTGGATCTTCTCCAACGCGGGGGGTGGGGATGGGCTCTCTTTCCTTGGAGGTTGTCCAGCAGTGGCCGGGGGATCATCCAGCGGTGATTCTTGAGCTCTGTTTCCTGCATGGCGGAGGGTTGCCCTAGATGACCTTGGGGTGTCCCTCCCAGCTCTGCAATTCTATGCTCCTGCAGCCACGGCCTGGCCCTGGGAGAGGAGGTGGGGAGGCGCGTGGGGCCAGGCTGCCTGGTGGGGCGCAGGGCGAGGGGGAGGCGGAGAGTTTGAAGCTTAGCAGGCCACACTCGGAAGTGGAAGCTCAGATCTGCTGTGAAATAGGTTCAGGTGGTTCTGGCCCTTTTCCCTGATAAGAACCCTAAGAAGCTAAGAAGAGACAAGTGCACAAAGGAGGAAACAGCCGCCGGCGCCGCCCGGTCTCAGCGGAACTCCCTGCCACTGCACGGCGCCCGTGGAGAAGTGTGCGGCGCCCGTTCGCCAAGCCGGTCCAGGCCTGGCTCCTGGCCCCGCCTGGGGGGCTTCTTGGCCAGCCACCCACCCACCCCACCCGCTGGATCTCTCTCTCTCTCACTCTCTTTATGTATAGACCTTCATCTCGTTTCTGTCCCCCCCCCCACATAAATACGACCCCTTTAAAAATACATGTCCTGTGCTATTTACAATATATACAGCCCCACATCAGGCAGAGCGACGTCCCTCTGGCTACGGAGGACTATTCACATTGGTTAAAAGCCCCACAGCGGACACTGGGGGGGGGAGGGAGGGGCTGCGCCACACATTTCGGGGGGGAGGCAAGGGAGGGAGGCTTCGTTGTTGCGATTCCTGCATTGCAGGGGGTTGGACTAGATGACCCGTGGGGTCCCATTTCAAACTCTGCGATTCTAGGGTGGGGGGACACAGAATCCCCCCAAAAGCATCTTAGCCCTTTGTTGAGCCAGATGAGAACCGGGGGGGGGGCATGCAGGAGGGCAGGTGGGGGGGTCATTAAGTGCATCCGGCTGAGGCAACCTGCCTCCCCCAAGGGAGAGACTGCAGTCCCATACGGGGCATTTGGGGAATGTCAGCGGGCGAGAAGGGGCCACAGAAGCAGGAGGGTGGCGAGAGGGGCCCCCGTCCCCACTGTGGCCCCTGGGGGGGTGTCACCTGGCAGCCCAGCCCTGCGGGCCAGGAGAGCCAGTCCTAAAGTGCAAAGGGGCTGTGGTCTTGCGGGGGCCCCAGTGGGGTCTGTCCTGTCTCCTCTCCCGTCCCTTTTGGCAGGAAGGAGGAAACGCGGACCCCAAAAGGCGTGGCTTCTCCGTCCGAGACGGGGCAGACAGACCCATCTCTGCGGCCCAGTGCCCCTCTGGGCCGGACGGGAAGAGCAAAGTGCAAAATGGTTGGCGGGTTTGGAGGGGCTTGGCGGGGGGACGGGACACAAGATGACCCCCTTTCCCACTTGACAACTCTGCCATTCTAAGCCCAGGCAGCCTGCAGGGGGTCAGCAGTAGTTGCCAGGCCCTCCTGGGTAAAAAGGGCAAAGCAGGAGGGCAGGGGGTTGGACTAGATGACCCCAGGGGTCCCTTCCAACTACAAGCCTACGATTCTACGAAAGCTGCCCGGCCCCATTGCTTTGGTCCCCAAGAGGGGGCTTGTCTTAGGAGGGCAGGGAGGGGAGAGTCCAGCATTGGCAAGGGAAGAAGCATGCTGGTGGCCTCGGCTGGTGCCCTCTCCCCACCGGGGGGGCTGGTTGGGGGGGACGGGGCGGGGGGAGCAAGGAGCACACCCGACAAAAGGCAACGATAGAAAAGCAGGCAGGATCAGGGCAAGGGGCTCGGCGCATCCGAGTCTCCGGCCTCCCGGGGAAGTCACTTAGCTGCCGGCGGCCGCCCTCCGTCCCACGGCGAGAGCCGGCCCTAGAGCCGAGGTCGATCTATGGGTCAGCGGTATCAGCCGTGCCGCTGGGCGGGAGCTGGCGGCCGCGGTGCTTGGATGGGTGCGCCTGGCGCTGCAGTTCACGTGCAGAGAGACGAGTGGAGCGGCGTTGGGCAGCGGGCCCTCCCTGCTGGCTCTCCGGGAGAGATGGGTGTGGAAAGGGGCAGGCGGGGCTCTCAGGCGGGGCACAAACCTCCGGGCAACGGCCTCGGCCAGCTTCTCAGGAGTAAATGGTGATGACCTCCCGGCCGCCACCGCGCACCAGCAAGACCCGGTCCAGGTGCTCCGTCAAGACTTCCAGGAACTCCATGTCTGGGGGGGGCAGTTAAGGAGCGGAGGGGCACCCAGGGCACAGAGGAGAGGCCCCCACCCTGGCCCACCCTCCCCAGAAGAACCAGGGAGCTGATTCTCCTCTGCCGTTTTGGGTTCTAAATGCACTTGTTCAGGTAGGACCAACTTGGCCAGTTAGCCCTGGTGATCAGTGGGTGTCTACTGACTGGCGTTTTGTTTTTTCTTTTGTTTTTCCCAAAATGACCTCTGAATTTTTGAATTTTATTGATATTGATGCTGCATTTTATGTTGTATTTTATGCTGTTTATGGGACGCGGGTGGCGCTGTGGGTTAAACCACAGAGCCTAGGACTTGCCGATCAGAAGGTCGGCGGTTCGAATCCCCGCGATGGGGTGAGCTCCCATTGCTCGGTCCCTGCTCCTGCCAACCTAGCAGTTCGAAAGCACATCAAAGTGCAAGTAGGTACCGCTCTGGCAGGAAGGTAAACGGCGTTTCCGTGCGCTGCTCTGGTTCACCAGAAGCGGCTTAGTCATCCTGGCCACATGACCCGGAAGCTGTACACCGGCTCCCTCGGCCAGTAAAGCGAGATGAGCGCCACAACCCCAGAGTCGGCCACGACTGGACCTAATAGTCAGGGGTCCCTTTACCTTTTACCTATGCTGATTTTAAGTCACATTTTAATTAATGTTTTATATTTTCTGTTAGCCGCCTTAGCCTGGTTTTTAAACCGGGAAGGGCGGAATATAAATGAATTATTATTATTATTATTATTATTATTATTATTATTATTATTATTATTAAAAGGCAGAGTATCTGCAGCTTCCCCTCCTGTGTTGCCCTTGCCCCCCCCCCGCAAAAGCCTTGCTCTCGGGACGCCCCACAAATGCCCCCGCCCCCAGCTGCCAGAGGGGGGCTCTGCCAGGGAAGGATACAGTTCTCGTCCCCCTTGCGGTTCCGGGGGGGCCCTGGCATGTTGAGCAGCACCAGCTTGGCGTCCTGGGACTTCTTCACGATGGCCTCGTTGAGGCGGATGGCGGTGTGCATCCGCCGGACGTTGGACTGGTTCCTGCGGAAGACGGCGGGGGCCTGGTCAGTTGGCTCCAGAAACCTCATTTGACCCCCCCTGCCCGCCCGAGCCCAGCGTTGCCCTGCCCCATGACAGAGGTGGGGCGGGAGAAAAGCCCAGCCAGAGAGCCCCCCTGCTCCCCCCCCCCGCGACACAGAGCAGAGCAGCCCCAAGCAAAGACTTACAGGGTCTCCCACTCCCTGGCAGCGTCAGGCAAAGGAAGGAGGAAGAGAGAGAGCTGGTCATTGACTACCTGGTGCCCACAAGGGATGCACGGCTGCCTGGCAACCCCCTCCCTTGGCACCAAGCCCCCTCCCCTCTGCCCAGCAGCCCCCCTGCTTCCCTGCACCCTCAGCGCCTCCCCAGCACCTGCCCAAGCGATGCCCCGGCAGGAGCAGGAGCGGGTCCCTTCTGCCCGGGGAGCAGAGGTGCTGGCGCTGGGACTCACGGCTTCATGCTGAAGAAGTCCTTGATGCTCTCAGGGCTGACGGGACTCTTGCCCTTGTTCTTCTCGGCCAGCTTGTCTTTCGTCCAGGTGAGGTGCACCTTCTCCGGGGCGGCCTCTGGCTCCGCCTCCGCCTCTGTTTCGTCACCCGGAGACGGGGAGCAGCTGGTGGCGTTTTTGTCGTGGATGAGCTGCACCTGTGGCAGAGGAGGGGGGCGGGAGAGGTTGGGGCCAGGGCACGGACCCTCCACAGCCCCGGTCAGGATCGAGGCCATGCCCTCAGCCCCGGTCAGGATCCAGGCCATTCCCCAAAAGTCTCTGCCTGGGTGGTCAGGGATGCTTCAGTTGAGATTCAGGGGGCTGGACTAGATGCCCCCAGGGGTCCCTTCCCATGATTCCACCAGTGGACTGGGTTACCTTTGAGGTCCCTGCCTACTCTGATCGCTCTCTTTTTCAGGGCTGCAACCATTTGGCGCTTAATCAGGTTAACTGGAAATGGATTCATTGGGCAGATTCTTTATTTGTGGGATGTAACATCACGGAAGCAGTGGCAGTCATTTCCTGCTTGCCCAGAGTGGACACACAGGGAGATGTTGCTCCAGCCAGGAGGACTTCCTGTCACACCTGGTCTGGACTTCCTCCCCTTGTGTCTGACCAGGTAGATGGGCGTGGCCCTGCCAGACCCTATAAAGGGGCGAGTCACCCAGCCATCTTTCTCTTGACGCTCTGGATTCCATCTCTGCTTTTTTAAATTTTCAATTAATAAAATTCCAATTGATATCATATCAAATCTTGCCACATCATAATACAAACAATAAAGCCAATTCTGCAAAATTTGCAGAGGACTCCCCATGTTCTGGCTGTTGAGAGAAAGTTATTTCACTTGTTCTTGCTTTCTTCTCTCTTATTTTCCAGTTTTATCATTCCGACATTAACCCATTGTCTTGATTCCATCTCTTCTTCGTGCCTTTTTGCTGTCTGCTGGCTCTCAGCCAGCAGCACCTGGGCTCAGCCCTCACAAGAGGATGAACCCCACACCTTTCTCTGGAACTGGAACTAAAAGCTCAAGCCTGCCTTCAGGATCACACTGTCAACTGTAAAGCTCATCATTCGTTTTAAAGAAGACTGTTGTGTCGTTATTGTTTTTAAGAGGGAACTAAGGGGGATTTAGTGGCAAGCGGGTGGAGCTTTGGGTTAAACCACAGAGCCTAGGACTTGCCGATCAGAAGGTCAGCTGTTCAAATCCCCACGACGGGGTGAGCTCCCGTTGCTCGGTCCCAGCTCCTGCCAACCTAGCAGTTCAAAAGCACGTCAAAGTGCAAGTAGATAAATAGGTACCAATCCGGTAGGAAGGTAAACGGCGTTTCCGTGCACTGCTCTGGTTTGCCAGAAGCGGCTCAGTCATGCTGGCCACATGACCCGGAAGCTGTACGCCGGCTCCCTCGGCCAATAAAGCGAGATGAGCGCCGCAACCCCAGAGTCGTCCACAACTGGACCTAATGGTCAGGGGTCCCTTTAGCTTTACCTTAAGGGGGATTTACCAGGAACAATCTCATCTGGACAAGCCAGACTGGATTGCTTAATGCTAATGATTCTCACGAATCCATCAACTAGCTTCCTGCTATGTAGGAGGGAATGTGCTCTGCTTCCAGCTTACTAACCTGAGTGAGGAAGGACAATATTTAATCAATATATCCCGGACCCCCAGCGCCCCCCTGGGCAGCCTCACCTCTTCTTCCGGCTTCTCCTCGTTGTCGCCCACCTGCTCGTCGGGGACATTGAGGCGCAAGCGCGTGTTGGTGGGGTTCTTGCGCCGGATGGAGCCGCGCGACTCGTCTGTGATGCTCTGGATCTGGGGGGCAGAAGGGAGAGGAGAGGCCACTGGCAAGGGAGCTGCCCCCAATGGGTGGTGCCAGGCTGGTGCCAGGCTCTGGCTGTGTGCCAGGTGTTTTATCTGCTAGACATCCAACTCTTCCTCAGGTTCCTTGTGGGCAAAGGCTGAGGTGCCACTTATAAAGCTCATATAACATGCACAGGTTTTCTTTATATCACCCCCCCTCCAGTCTCAACACACCCTTAAAACACCCTGTGTGCCCCCCCCTTGTGAGAGATGCTTTAGGGTGGCACCCATTGCTGGCCAAGAGACGCTGAGATCTCTGTAGTGAGAATTATAGTATATAATTGACGGCCTACAGGGGGAGAGATGTGAAAAAGATTAAAGAGAGGGCAGGGTAAAGTCCTTCTTTACACAGTGCTTCCTTCAACTATGGAACTCCCTCCCACAGGAATCAAGGATGGCCACTGGCTTGGATGCTTTTAAGTGAGAATGAGAAGCATCCATGCAGGATGAGAGGCCGGGGGGGGGGGCTACTAGCCAGGAGGGCTCTGCTTGGCCTCCCCAGCCGGAAGCAGTGATGTTTCTAGAAGCCACAGGAGGGGAAGGTGTGTGAGCTATCTGTCTGGAATATAGTTGTATTTCAAGGAGTTAGTGATCTCAGCCTCTCTTGAACCCACGCAGCTGAATCTGCTCTCTTCTCTCCCTCTCCCTATATGGGCAATTGATCCAGAAGATCTAGTGATCTGACACGATTACCCTCCCTGCCTCTGTTTGCTCCCCCCCCCCTAGCTCTTGTTCAGCTCTTTGATGGCTGAGAACAGCCTTTAGTGCCCTAATCTGTGATAGCGCTGGGTACCTTCACCTTCTTTGACGTTGGACATTGTTTGGAGAAAGTGAGGCACTGGGAGAGGTGGCTAATGAATTATCTGCATGTAGCATGTCGAACAACCCACACAGGCTAACAGACTAGCTATCTATAAATCTGATAGTTTTGGGCATAGTTGCTGATGCACGGACTGATGGCTGTGGGGCTGTGCAAACTGAAGCTACCTGGGGGAGCCACTTTGCCACTTCTTGAGGGCTTCCAAGTGGCAGATGGAGGCTTTTGCTTGTCATGTATATATTGCTTGCTGTTTAGAATAGAAACCTTCAATCTTCTCACTCACTCGTGTTTTGTGTTCCTTCTGCATCTCATTTTAAAAGAACCGCCTTGCATTTGGCAAGGCAGACGGCGCCCCTGTGATCAAATCCTGCTTGTGGGTTTCCCAGAATGAGCCCCCGGTTGGCCCCTGTGAGACGAGGGCAGGTGCAAGTCTGACCCAGTTCTAAGGTGCATGGAGGAATCGCTGCGAGAGAGCAAGACTCTCTCCTTCTTCAGGCAGGGCAGATTTCTCCCTTTGCCCTTGCACGAGACCTCGCAGCGCTTCCCAGCCCATAAGTGGGAGGGCGTATTGCGGCCCACCAGCCCCACGGCCACTTACCTCGCGCTCCCTCTCCGTCTTGGTGAGGTGCATCTGCTTGAGGATCTGGGAGCGCTGCTCCATCACCAAGGTCTTCTCGTAGGTGTAGGCGGAGATGTCACTCTCGTGCTGCGGGAGAGGGAGAGGGTGGGACATGGGGACTCCCCAGTGAGAACGCAACGCTGGACCAGACAGGCTCCTGGCCGGATCCAGCAGCCGGCTGCTCTGACAGCCTTACCATCTCCACGACTTCCACCTCGGCTGTGATGCGCAGGTGGTACAGGAAAGTCGTCAGGTCCTTCTTCATCTGGATGCTGTTGTCGTCCATCTGGGCCACGGTGAAGATCCGCATCTTGCACTTGCGCCAAACCTACGTGGGAGGAAAAGAGGCGGTGGAACCACTGAGCCAGCGCACAGCCGGCCCTGCCCAGCTCAGGGGACTCATTCCTGGGACAAGGCCTGGCAGAACACGGAAGCAACAAGAAATACCTGCGATAAAGACCAGGACTAGCCGCCTGAGAAACAGTTTCTATCCAAATGCAATTTTGGATTTAAACGCAGTGTAAGGTAGTCTCTATGGGAGTATATTGAATTTAAAAATGGGGTATCAGATTTTTTAGGGGGTTAACCAGGTTGGGATAGCTGGGATAGGCTTGTTGGTTTTTGAATGCCTGATGTAGATTTTTTCAGTTTCGTTGTTCTGTATGGGACAATGACAATAAAGATTATCATATCCAGAGAAGAGTTGCAGATGAAGATGATGGACTATGCGGAACTGGAGAAGCTGACTGGGAAAATTTGAAACTAGCATGATCAAGCTTTCCAAAAAGACTGGAGTGAATTTGTAATATTTGAAGGATCACTGTAAGCAACTGAAAACACAAGCAGGGTTGTAAGAAGTAATGACAATGATTATTACCTTTTTTACATTTACTTAAAAATTGAGATGAGTTGAATGAGAAAAACATAAAATGGAAGATGTATAACTGCTATGATATAGAGATGAGCTTTGAAAGCCATGGGGGGGGGGGGAGTCAATAGGCTCATATGAGCAAAAAGTAGAGTGGATAATAAGAATGCGTCTAAATATTAAAAATGGAAATGCAATAAAAATATTTAAAAAAAAACAAACATGTGCGCCATCCTCCCCAGCAGCCGCCAGAAGAGACTGGAGCTCCAATACAGCCATTTGAGTGGCCCTAAGAGAGTGGATTTGCTGTTGGGTGTCCCTGCTGAGGACTCTGCCCTTCCTCGTAGAAGCATAGAATGGCAGAGTTGGGGGGGTCCCAAGGGACCATCTAGTCCAGCTGTCCTGGACTGGTTGGAGGCAGAGGAACGGTGGGAGGAACCCCCAAGAGGTACCCCAAGGGAAGAAGGCCCAGAGCCCGGGGGTGGGGTGGGGGGACAACGACGAGGGGTCAGAGGGAGAAGAAGGAGCAGACCGGGAGGAGGAGGTGTCAGAAGCGGAAGAAGTAACAGGCCTTAGTGAGCAGGAAGAATCAGAGGCAGAGAGAAGTGCAGAATCAGAGGCAGAAGCTGAAGCAGGAGAGGAGGGCCAGACATGAGTCCGGCTGGTGAAGAGTCACAGGTCTCTCCCCCTCCTGCTGCCATGAGCTCCCCTCCCCACTGGTCTCCCAGAACCAGAAGAGGAATGAAGAGGGCGGAGGAGAGGTTGGCGGCATGCAGGCACAGCCTCAGACTGCATGGGGAAACCCTGGAGAGGAGGGGGAAGGTGGGGGTCTTTGATCTCAACAGCTGATTTCCATGGAGTAAGACCACCGAGAACAAGCTGTTCTTCTCATTAGGCCTGACACTCAACCAAGTCAAGATCATGTTTTTGCCAATAAAGAGTTAGCAGTGCAGAGTTCCCCCTGCAGTGCAGGGATCTCAGTGCGACACCCCCTGGCGTCTCCCCGAATACCTTGTGTTGACGCAGCAGGAAGGGCAGCAGCATCAGCATCCCTCCATCGTGCACGATCCACCAGACGTCAATGTGGCCCTCTGAGAAGCGTTCCGAGTTGGCCGGGAACATGGCCAGGTTCTTGGCCACTAGGAGCGCCATGTGCCCAGCAGTGGTCTCTCGCACAAGCTCTGTAGGGCGCAGGAAGGGGAGAGAAGCATCACCCACAAGAGGAGAGGGTGGACAGAGAACCAGTGCTCGAAATTCACACATTTTGCACCCAGCTAATGGCCACTTGTGACCAAGTGAAGATGCCCGGGTGCCAGGACGGCATCTGATGTCTCCATCATCTGGAGGTGCATGGCTGGGGATCCTTAGACCATTTTCACACACATTCTGTAGAATTCTATCTGGACAATCGGAATGAATTTCCGGAACCAAAAAGATGTGTTGAAAAATACAACTTTAGAACCGCCTGGCCACAAAATGGCAACTAGACGTTCCATTTTGGAAACCGTAACTCTGGTTTAAGGAGCCACTTGGTGCCTCGCTTATATATCTGAGTTTCTAACATAGCAGAGAAGCCTAAGGTGAGCAGATGAAAGGAAGTGATTCTGCCTGCAGCACATTGTTAATCTTTGGAACTCCCTCCCGCAGGAGACAGCAATGGCCACTGACCTGGGTGGCACTGGAAGAAGATTGGGCCAATTCATGGGGGAGGAGGGGAGGGCCATGGCTGGCTTCTAGCCACAAGGGCCACAGCAAGAGGCAGCAGTGCTCCTGAGTACCAGTTGCTGGAAAGGAGAGCTCTGCTCTTGTGCTCAGATCCTTCCCTGTGGGTTTCGCACAAGAGGCCCCTGTTTGGCCCCTGTGAGAGCAGCGTGCTGGAGTGAGTGGGCCCCCTTTGGCCTGGCCCTTAGGGCCCCTCTGCCCTCCCAGCCCACGGCCCCCCGCCCAGTGTGTACCAATGAAGTTCCTCCAGGTCTGGTGGTCCTCCTTGCTGCGCCAGTTGCGAGGCCAGCCGACCAGGACGCTGTTGTGCTGCAGCCCCCCCAGGCCGCTGGACTGGATCAGATGGGACATCCCGTCGCGCACCGAGGTCGACGTCACCACCTGGCAGAAGCCCTTCACCTTCTCCGCCTCCATCAGCCGCCGGATGGACTGCGAGGGAGGAGAGAAGTTGGAGCCCCTTCCCGGCCGAGAGCAGGGATCGGGACCCTGCAACCCCCAGCCCCGGGAGCGCCGCTCTGCCCTGCTCACCTCCTCTGCCCGCTGGACCTGGGCATGGTTGTCCAGGAAGGTGCCCTCCAGCACGGAGCCCACGATGGTCAGCCCCTTGCCGGCCTTCAGCTGGTTGATGAAGGAGAGCAGCTGCGGGTGGGCCACGTTCTGGTCCTGATCCACGCGGACAAGCACCAGCAGCTGCGGCCTGGGAAGGGGGAGGAGGGAGTTGGCGCTGGCCGGGCTCTCCTCAGAGTAGAACCATTGGGATGCAGGGAACCAAGCTCACAACGGCCATCAGTGTCAGTGGGTCTCCTCTTGAGTAGGACCAGCATTGGAGGACTTCTGCCCGCTCTCGCTGCTTCTCCTTCCCAGTCCCAAGTCCCCTTCCTCTCTCCCGCCTTGCCAGCTCCCTCTGCTGCCCCATCCCTTAGGGATCATAGAACAGTCGGGTCCCCCAAGAGTCATCTGGTCCAGCCCCCTGCCATGCAGGAATCACGCCCCCCTCACATTCACGCCCTCCCTTTGCTCCAGGCCTCGTGCCAGGCATATCTCTGCCCCTCCTGCACTTGTTATGCCTGTTGTGGTGGGCAGCTGATCCAGGGCCCCTGGCACCCCACTGCCCAGCAGCCTTCCCACAGGTGCCCCCCCAGTCTCCCTCCCTCTCCCTCTTCCCACACCCACCCAGTCAGTCTGGCAGAGTCCTGCTCCCTTACCTCCAGTTCTTCGTATGGGGCGGCCCTTCCTCCAGCCGCAAGAGGGCATAACGGGCCGCGCTGAGGGACAGGCCCCGGATCCCATCGCCCCACTCCTTCTCCGCTCTGCAAAGTCAAAGGTCATCCTCTGAGGCCCTTCTGTGTGTTCGTCCTCCACCAAAGGCCCAGAGGGGGGCAACATGAGAACAGGGCCTTTTCTGTGGTGGCTCCCTCTTGGGGAAAGGCTCTCCCCAGGGAGGAGAGAGCGCTTTGTCTTTAGGCGCCAGGCAAAAACGTTCCTCTTCCACCAGGCCTTTCGCTGATTCAACTGTTTGTGGCCTCTTAGAGTGTTTTTGTTGGTTACTATGTTGTGTATTTTTGTGCTTTAATATTATTATGTGTTAGGATTTAGCCAGAAGTCTGATTGAACTTTGCCAAAGATGGGGAGCCCCCTGGACTTACTTGTGCTAAGGAGCCAAGGCAGCTTGGCAGAACTAGGGGGGAAAGACCAGCGATGACCATCAAGGAAACCATCAGAGGGCAGGACTGCCAGGCAAGGGGGACCCCTTCTTTTGGGGGGTGCTGGTGCACAGATGCCAAGGCCAGGGGTGTGTTTTTTTTTGGGGGGGGGGAGCTCCTTGCAGTTGGTTTGCAGCGAAAAGGAGAAGGAGGGCAGAACTGCAAGTGAGCTGGGAGTGACCGGCTGGAGGCCAGAGACGCAAGGATGGCTTTTTGCTGCCCTTAAGGGGGAAGCCAGACCCTCGTGGGATGCAAATACTCTGCAATCCCTTTAAAGGTTTTGACCTGTAAAGCCCTCTGTGGCCTAGGACCCACGTACCTATGGGACCGCCTCTCCTGGTCTGCCCCGCGGAGGACCTTAAGGTCCACAAATGACAACACTTTGGAGGTCCCAGGTCGCAAGGTGCCTAGATTGGTCTCAACTAGGGCCAGGGCCTTTTCAGCACTGGCCCCAATGTGGTGGAATGCTCTGTCACAAGAGACCAGGGCCCTGCGGGACTTGACATCTTTCCGCAGGGCCTGCAAGACAGAGCTGTTCCGCCTGGCCTTTGGTTTGGACTCAGTCTGACCCTTATGTTTCCCTCCCCTTATGGTTTTGATCTAAGGGCTACTTTTAAGATGAGGCTGCATTTTAAATTGCATTTTAACCTGTATTTTAAATTGGTTCCCTCCCCCCATTGTGTTTTTACTGTGATTTTATTGGTGTTAGCCGCCCTGAGCACGGCTCTGGCCGGGGAGGGAGGGGTATAAATAAAATTATTATTATTATTATTATTATTATTATTATTATTATTATTATATCATCATCATCATCCTCTAGGAGCAGCAGGTTGTAGATATGCGCCAATAGAGTGATATATCATAAAGACGCCACAGTCTCTGCTGTCTCTTATTGTCCCAGAAGACAACACAAACTCTGGGGTATATAAATTTAATAATAGGGAGGGAGGGAGGGGTCAGGAAAGGTGGAGGAGAAACCACCCCCACTACCTCTGCCCTGGAACTCGCAAAGCAGTGGAGTGAAGGAGGCTCCTAAATGTGATTTAGGATTGCAGAGTTGGAAGGGACCCTAAGAGATGCCTAGCCCAACCCCTGCAATGCGGGAGTCACTTGGCCTGGGTTCTTCCCCCAGAAAAAGACCCGGGAGGACCCGCTAGCCCCCGACCCGCCAACTTACCCTCGATATTCGATGTATTTGTAGATGAGTCCTGCAATCAGCATGGCCACCAGCGCATAGTACCAGGAGCAGATGAACATCAGGGCCAGGCAGAGGCTCATGCCCAGGAAGGAGAGGGTCCTGTGGGCACCAGGGGGGAGGAGAGCTGAGCCCAGCCCAGAGGAGCACTGGCAGCCGCCCAGGCCTCCCTTGCAACAGGAGGCTCCCCTCCATGGAGAACAGGAAGGGGCCACCCAGGGCCATCTAGACCAACCCCCTCGCTGCCCCGCAGGAACGGCGGCTCGAGAGTCCCCGGCCCTTCGCCACTCACCAGTGGTAATACCGAAACCTCGGCCGCCAGTTGGGGGTCCTCAGCAGCGTCTGCACCGCGCAGGCCAGGTTGACGAACATGTAGCACATCAGGAAGAACCTGGGGGGGGGGAGAAGCGAGGGCCTGAATGTGGGGGGAGAAAGAGGGCGGCTCAAAGCCATCCCTTCCCAGCGCCTGGAAGGAACTGCCCCACGTGGGGTGGGAGGGTGGGGCTGGGGAGGGCAGCACTGGCAGACAGGAGGTGCTGCCCTAGCTTGAGGGATGCTCAAGGCTGGGGGGGCAGGCGGGCTGGGCAGTATGGCCTCTTCCTGGGTGCTGGAGAGAGACCCCCTGCCCCAAGCTCAGAGGGGCCCCCAGAGGTCCCAGGAGGGGAGGGGGCGTACATGGAGAGGATTGGGGCCACCTCGTCCAGGGAGGCAATGAGGATGCCTATTTCGCAGATGCAGGCGGTGAGCAGGAGGGCCCAGGTGGGTTCCCCGTTGGCCTTGCCGTGCCCAAAGACCTGCGGGAGAGGAAGAGAGAAGGCAGAGAGACCGTCAGCAGGAGGAGGGTCAGGAAAGGGCCCCATACCTGGTCCTGGGGAGGGAGGGAGAGGCGCCCCTGGGAAGAAATGGCCGCAGCACCTGGGACCTTTTGGGTTGGAGGAAAGGTGCGCAAGAGAAGTTTGCCAAATGACGGCTGGCTTGGAGAAAGTGGAGAGAGAAGGGAAGGCTCTTTGCCCTCCAGTGAAGCTGAACGTTGGGGAATTCAGGACAGATAGCAGAAAGCCTTTCTTTACGCAGTGCAGAGTTAAACTAGAACTCCCTCCCGCAAGAGGCAGCAATGGCCAAAAATGGGTTGGACTTCAAAGAGGGTGAGGCAAATTGATGGAGGAGGAGAGGGCTATGGATGGCTCTACTCTGCTTCCACAGTCAGAGGCAGCAATGCACCTGAATGCCACTTTCTGGAAACCACAGGGCTCTTGTGCTAGAATCCTGCTTGTGGGTTTCCCACTGCATTTCCCACTGCTTGGCCACTGGGCTGGATCCCGCAGGCTCCCCTGATCTTCTCATGAAGGGGACATGATCATGCACTGACAGCAGCCCAGCAGAGGAGGTCCAGATCTGTCCCTGTTTGGCCTCCGCTGCCAGAGCAAAAGATGGTTCCTGGTTCCAAGGGGCAGCCAAGTCTTCCGGGAGTTGATCCGAAGTCCCCTTTGGGTTATTGTCCAATCCCTCCTGCTCCATAATTTGAGCCTTCTATTTTTTGCAAAATCACACGAGGTTTTTTTTAATTGCAAATTTTGCCCGGCTCTTCATGGCGACACTTTGCTGATTTTGCCTCCTCGTTCCTTTTAGCAGAAAGGCAGTGCCAAGCTGTTCAGGGCGCTTAAAACAAAAATGGAGCAGAAAGAACTCCAAAAAAGATTTCTCTGAACTGAGAGAACCAGCAGTAAAAATGGCAAATGCAATCCAGTGTGATCAAAAGACATTTATTTCACTAATACACTCATGGAGTTTGAACTTGCAGTGAGTGACCAGGAAGGAGCCTGTGAGGCTGTAGTGAACAGCACCATGAAAATGTCACCCCAGTGTGTGGCAGCCACGAAAAGGGCAAATTCCATGCTAGGGATCGTCTGTCATGGCTGCTTTAGTTGAGAGTCCTGCATTGCAGGGGGCTGGACTAGATGGCCCTTGGGGTCCCTTCTAATTCTACGATTCCATGGAAATAAAACTGACACTATCCTAAGGCTGTTACACAAATCTATGGTGCAGCTACACTTGTGTATAATTCTGATTTATGGTTGGGAAATTGAATGAATGGGGAAGTCACGGCTCTACAATGTCCTTGCTGGGTGGGCCCCAGCCGCCCCCTGTACCAGCCCCATTGCCTCCTCGCTCTCCTTTTGCTGTGGGGCCCCAGCCCCAGCCCCCCGGCAGCCGAGGAAACAGCTTTGGGCGAGAAGCGGCCAGGGGCGAAGGAAGGACCTTGCAGCTTCTGGCTCCAGAGCACCTTGCGGAAAGTGTGGAGCGGCAGACAAGGTGGATGTGGCAGGTGCAGCCGAAGCAGCTGACAACTCTGGCTACTTGAAGGGGACACCTCAAGGGCAGGAGGAGGCGCAGGAGCAAAGGGGGGGCCGCGTCCAAACCCTCAAGGCTCAGCGAGGAGGGGGCTGCGGGAACCGTGCACTGCAAGGGCGGAAGGAGAAGCAAAAGATGAAGGCATGTGGCCAGCCCCCTCCCTCTCTCCCGTCTCAAGGTGGGATCAGATGTTCACTAGGACGAAAAGGCAGCTGAACGGCTCCAGACTTCCTTTGATGCAGCATTTGCAAATCAGCTTACGGACATAAGCAGAGTCTGCTGGTTCAGGCCAAAGGGAGCCCATCTAGTCCAGCCTCCTGTTCTCAGGGTTAGGATTATGATGTTCCGTTCCACCTAAACGGATGTGTGGGGCTGTTGCATGGCACATGTCTGTTTACATTCCAGCACAGCTTCCTGGGAACTTCCGTTTGTGTATTGCTTTTGCTTTGTGCTTCCTGCTTTTGCTTGGACACAAAGGGGAGCAGACATGTTTTTCTTTTGTCCTGATGCTGAATAAAATGCTTATAAATATGCTTACATACGCCGCTGTCCGCTCTTCCGTTGCAAAGAGTTCTTATCTCTGCTGGCTTGCGTGCTCAGTCTCTAAAGGTCTCTGAGGCTTGAGTCGCAGTTTTGATGCTGTTCTGAGAACCAGAGTTCACCCGGCTGTTGGCCGGTGGCTGGAGCCAGCTGGGGGCTGCCAATTGCCCCCGTCTCCCAACACTCACAGGGGCTGACCAGATACTTCTTCCGGAGAAGCGCAGGCAGGACCTGAGCACAAGGGCAACTCTCCCCTCCTGGGGTTTCCAGCAACTGGTACCTCCGACCACGGAGCCTCAGCCCTCTTCTCCTCCATCCATCGTCACTGTCTTCTGGAGGAAGGAGCTTGACTATGCCTGGGCTTCTGGCGCACAGCTGGAGACAGGGCACTCGGCTAGACCCAGCCTGGCTCAAACCCAGCACAATGCTCCCCCTGGTCTTCCTGCGCCCGCTCTGACATTAGCTGGCTTGATGCTTCCGCTCAAGAGGGGCTTCGCCATCCAACCAATTTGATTTGAGAGGAGACAAGGGGACAGGTGACCTTGAAGATGCGGACGCTGAGATTGGCAGGGGAAAGCTGCCTGTTGTCAGGGGCCCTGGGCTTGTTTCCCTTTCTTTCTGACACCTGGAGATGTTTCTGTCGGAGGCAGTTTGAGGGCTGCGTGTCGGAAACCCCTGCTCAGCCACCAAGCTCCCTGCCTGGCCTGGGGGTAAGCCGACCTCACAGGGCCCTGGGGGGGGGGGACGCAGCCATGCCCACGGCCCAGGTGGCTTTTAAAGGGACGAGATACAGGGAAGGAAAATTAATTGTTCTTGTTATAATTTGGCTATTGTTGGGAGTATATTGGGAAACTAATAAGAAAGATTACAAAAGAAGAGAGACATGGATGGAGGAGGAGGAGTGAGAGCTCTTTTGGGTGCCATCAGCAAAAGGGAACTTCCAGGCTACCTGCTGGGAATTACGGGAATTATCTTTGGGCTCTCCTGGACACCTCTGACTGGCCACAGAGGAAACAGGAGGACACAAGAAGGTCTGTGGGGTCAAGCCAAGAGCCAAGCTGCTCCACCATCCTGTTCTCCCAGTGGTCAACCTGTGGGAAGCCAGCAAGCGGGATCCGAGCCTGAGAGCAACTTGCCCCTCCTGCGGTTTCCAGCCACTGGGATTCAGAAGCAGGGCTGCCCCTGAATGTGCAGGCAGAGAAGAGTCTCTCCTCTGCGGTTTTGGCTAATCCTAGTGAGGAAAACTCCTGGCCTGATCCTGCTGAGGGTGCAAGGAGGGTTGGAACGCACCCTGTCTGACCAACCTCTTGCTGTGTGCGCACACACGCGTGTGCATGTATCTGTGCCCGTGTGTGTGAGAGAGAGAGGATTGCAGGAGTGTGGGCAGGAAAGCCGACGTCTCCTCCTGTTACCCAGCATGGCTCGTCCCTCAAGTGAAGACTGCAAAAGAGGCAGCTGAGGAAGGAGTTTAAAATTAGCCGCAAGTCCCTGTCGGCTGTCGGCTTGGATTTGCGCAGATGTGGCTCACTAAGTGCGCCGAGTGCACTGAGAAACCGGGAGGCCCCCAGCCCACACCCAGGCCGGCTTCACCAGCACAGACACACGCACAGCACATCAGGCCAAGTCAGACAGGGGAGCTGGGCCAGGATCAACACCAGTTGCATCTCTGTCCCACCTGCTTCTCCAAGGAGCTCAAGGGGGCCTGCAGGATTCTGCCCCCACAAGAACCCTGAGAGGGGGGCTAGGCTGCGAGGCAGGGACTGGCCCCCAAGGACTGGCCCTCCTGGTGAGCTTCATTTGAACCCAGGTCTCTCTCCCAGCTGCTGGTCCGACCCTCTAAGCACTGGGCCCTTCCCCCCTTTTACTGCTACTAGGAAACAAGACCTCTCTCCCTCGGTTGCAATAAACAGTCTGAAGCAGTTATTTAAAAGGCCAATTAGAAGCAAACATTAAAGTTACATTATATAGATACACACACACACATATATAATAAAGAGTAGAAAACATGCATACTTATTAAAACCACTTCTCAAGATTATGGGTTAAAGTTATGAGCCTGGAAAGTGCGCTGGGACAAAAACATTTCTAGCCCATAACAGGGCAGTGAAAGGGAGTTCCCAAGAGGGTGGAATTAGCATCATGTGACGGTTGCAGAAGTTCCAGCTCTGCAGATCCCAGCCCCTGAGGGGGGGGCACAGAGTGACCTGAGGCCACAAGTGTAGGAGGGAAGAAGACCCCCCATCCTTTCCTCCCATGGGCCCCTTCTGTATTCTTCAGGAGGGGGCAGGGTCCTCACCAACACCCCCGCCAAAGAAACCCTTCACCACAACTCATCCTTGACTGCACCAGGAGGGGTCTTCCTGACTGCCCCCCACCCCGTGCTGTGGCCACGCTCCTCCCTTCCCCCCAGGCAGGCACTTACCCGCAGGAAGGGGACGATGCCGTCGCGAGAGATGGCCTGTAGCAGGCGAGGGGCCCCCGTCAGGCTCTGCAGCCCAGCTCCGCAGGTGGAGAAGAAGGACCCGAAGACAATGACCCAGGGGGAGGGCCAGGCCAGGGTGCCCACCACCAGGTTCCCACTCACGGCCTCGCCAAACCTGGAGGGGCAAAGGGGCAGGGCTGAATGGACTGGCAAGCAGTTGCATCTTCAAGGCTTTGGGTTTCGGTGTTTTGATTCTACGGTTCTGTGCTTCTACGGTTTGCTGAGAGCTGCTTTTGGGCACAGCACCTCGTGGGCAAAGCGGCACGTAAGTCAACTCAATGGATCAGTTGGTCACCTCGCCTGCCCTCTGCTGCTCTGAGCCCCATCCCATCTCACAGAGCAGAACGGCCTCCTCTGGCTTTGTTTTATAAAATTTGCACAGCGCTTGCTTGTAAAGCAATAACCCTCAAAGCAGTTTACAAAAAAGAGAAAGCAATAAAATCATCTGTAAGAAGAATGAATAACAATTTAAGGCTTCTAAAAAGTGAAAATAACAATGGACTAAAAACAGAATGAAGCTGGCACCAACTTTCTAAGCAACTGGACAGGCTTGTCCAAACCAACATGCTCTGAGCAGGCATCAAAAAGAGAGCAGTGAAGGCACCTGCCTGATATCAAGAGGCAGGGAGTTCCAAGGGTTAGGTGCTGCCACCCTAAATAATCGATTCCTTAAAAATGCAGAATGGATATTATGTGGCACCTGTAGGAGAGCCACTTCCGCAGATCAAAGAGGTCAAGGGGGCATTTATCGGGGTGACCTTGCAGGTAAACTGGGCCCCAGTTGCAAAGGGCTTTATATACTAACAGTTTCGACTTGGCCTGATAGCAAACGTGCCTGATAGTGCAGATTTCCGGGCAGAGGTCTTGCATGCTGACAAGGCCTCCTTCCTGTCAGCAATTGGGCTGCAGCATTCTGCACTAACTGTAGCTTCTGGATCGGGAGCAAAGAGATCTAGTCTTGATCCCTGCTGGGCACCTTCTGGGTCCAAAGAGGCCAGAGGTTGCCATAATTGGCGCCCCCAAAGCCTGTGTAGAAGCACAGCCCTCCCAACATTTCCGTCCCCAAAATCGGGACGTCAGGAGGGGTTCGCCCGCGCTTTCTGCTCACTTGCTCCAGAGTGAGCGTCTTTTGGGCGGGGATTCCAGCTCTCGACTTGTGCCACACCAGAAACAGGACATTCTGGGATCCAGACAGAAGCTGGGATTGGCTCCCGTGATCCAGGACGTCCCACTTAAAAGGGGACACTTGTGAGGGTGTGAAGAAAGGCCCCACCTGCTCCGCCCTTTCCCCAGGGGACTGAGGAACGTGCAGGACTGGACCAACTAACTTGGACTCTTCTTGGTCAGACAGAGCCAGGGGTCACCCTCCCAGGGGAACGGAGGGAGACTTCAACAGTCCAAGTGGCCTTGGCATTGGGTTCCCTCCTGGTAAACTGGAATCCCTACATTGTTGTGGCATGGGCAGGATCAGTCCAGATTTAGAGCACAGAGCTCAGGTTTATTTCATAGTCTACATGGACCTTCTACTGGTTCCCCACCCACTTTTATTCTGAAAAATGTTCTTTCATTTGACTGCTGGACTGTGTGTGTTTCAGAATGCCCCCTCCCTGTGGCCAGACGCTTGGCTGGAAGTGACTGGCACACTCTCCTGAGGTCTGGGGAGACTCAGCGACAGCCTGGGCTGCCTTTACTCTCTGAGTAACTCACAAGGGATGTCGGTGGGAGGGGGCTGGCAGCAGCTAGCAGAGAGTAAGACCCCCTGGCAGCCCTGCAGGGCTGTTGTGTTGCAGTTGGCAAGGAAGTGGGCAGGAGAGCCCTCTCTTGGCTCCCTCTTCGTCTCAGGGGGCAGCAGCGTTGGGAAAGGGGGGGCTGCTTCTCTCCTTGTGTAAGAGGCCAGCGGGGACCCCTGGACGAGTTCAGCTCAGGGCAAGAAGTCCCTTCTTTCCTGGCAGCCACCTAGCTGTGCCAACCTTGCAAGGCTTATTAGTCCTAATTTTATTTCCATTTTTATTTTATTTTATTGATTTGCTAAGAAACCTAAAGTGCAAGCGTGACGAAACAGAAGGAATCAAAGACTTAACCCACAAAGCGTCTCAGCCTGGAAGGACGAAAGCGGAAAGGAAAAGGACACAGCACAGCCGCAAAGCAGGAGAGGAAAGCACAAAGATTCCCTTTGCAAATCATCAAGATTTTTGAAATAAAGAAAGAAAAGCATTCTCCAGCTGCATCTCCCATCCTTGCAAAGGTTCCGGATGGCCCTAAATGAGCTGGTGGCCTCCGTGACCAGGTGCCTCGGTATTTGTATAGGGAATAAAGCCATTAGTATTATGACCCAAAAATGTCAGTGGCGGCTAGAGCAGCACCTTGGGTGGCCTAGATAGGGGAAGGGCAGCCTGCATCCCTGCTGCCAGGAGGGAGCTCAGCACCACAGGCAGCAGCCGAGGCCAGCATCCTGCCGGGCGAAGAGAGCAGGGAAGCAGGAGGGGTCCCCTGGCGGGGTGGGGGGTTGTCGGGGGGGCTGCACCGGGCGCAGAGTTTTCTGTCTTCCAAGGGCTTAGCAGGGGGTCCCTCTCACGACCACTGCCCTGCTTTGCTTATGCTCTTTATGTGGCACATTTTGTGTTTTACGCCGCAAACCTTCTCTTTATAGAGGGCGGCATATGCATTTATTAAAGTTATATGCCAAAGACCACAGGGCAGTTTGCAACAAGAGGACGCAAGTTTGAAAACATAACTGTCAGGGGTTCAGGGAGAGAGACGCAGATGAGGGAGGAGACTGAGAGCGAGGGGGAAGAATCCAGGAACGAGGAGGAGGAGGATGACAATGAGTCGAGGGGTTCCATGAGTCTCTCCAGTGAATCGGAGGATTCCCAAAAGGGAGCGCCCCTGGTCAGGCCAAGGGGAGCCACAGGGGGGAGTAGTCAGGAGCAGGGCAGCAGCAGGGGAACCCCCAGTGGGAGTTGGAGATCGGGACCGGCTTCTCCGCCGGAACGGAGTGAAGGGGGTGGAGTTCCCAGTGTGTCAGACGGAGCAGAGCAGGAAGCAGAGAGGGGAAGGAGATCGGGGCAAGACGTCCTGCCGGAAGGGGCGGAGAGTAGTACCGAGAGCAGTGTAACTGTCAAGAGGAAGGTCAGAAGCAGCGTACGCGCGCCAAGTTCAAATGTGGAGGTGTGCGGAAGTGAGGAGAGCCCGGAGGAGGAGCCTGGTCCCAAAGCATGGAGGAGGGGGGAGCAGGCGTCAGAGGATTCAGCCTCTGGGGAATCCCGGAGGGAGGGAACCCAGGGGGGCAGAAAGACCCTGCGGAAAAGGAAGGAGAGGAAGAGGTGGTCCAGCGCAAGCCTCTTAAACTGGTGTAGAGGCGGGACTGATTCAGAAGGGACTTCAGCGGTCTAAGCCTAACAGACGTGGGGTCACGCGCCTCGGATGTGGAGCTAACAATGTTCTTCAATAAAAGCTTTTGTACATAAGCTGGACTTGGCGTTGGTCTCTTGTGAGCTGGGACCTCGGGTGGCCCTGACAATAACCATATTATCTTAAGATCCTTGTGTCTTCTACAACAATAGCAAAAAACCATACCCCGCCACAGACATGTTTAAGGAGGCTGCAGAATGTTTAATCAACCCGAGGCCTGGTATTACCATTTTATAAATTATTATTAGTCATACCTCGGGTTACAGACGCTTCAGGTTGTGTTTTTTTGGGTTACGGGACAGCCGAAACCCAGAAGTACCGGAACGGGTTACTTCTGGGTTTCAGCGGCCACACATGCGCAGAAGCATTAAATTGCGCTTTGCACATGCACAGAAGCACCGAATCACAACCTGCCTGTGCGCAGACGCGCCGCTGTGGGTTGCGAACACTGTGGGTTGCGAATGTGCATCCCACACGGATCATGTTCGCAACCCGAGCATCCACTGTATTATTTATTATTATTATTATTATTATTGTTATTATTGTTATTATTAATGCGCCAGAAGGCCAGGGGTCCCCCAGGCCCAGAGAGAGAAGGATACTCACTTGTCCCGGAGCACGACACCCTCGATGCAAGCGCCAAAGAGGATGACGGAGCTGATGTCTGTGGGGGCGTTAAGGAAGGAGTCGGAGGGCAGCTGGGACGGCTGGAAGCTCTGCCTGGTCCTGAAGGACGCCCCCCCCCCGGACCAGGCTGGGGGGAATCAGGGCAAGTGCTGGCATGGGGCATGGGGGAGACAGAAGGGCAGTTTTTGGTGCGAGGGGTGGCCTGTCTGAGATTATTTAGCTGCGGTTCCTGCATTGTGGGGGGTTGGGCTAGATGACCTTTGGGGTCCCTTCCCACTCGACAACCCCATGATTCTGTGCCGCTTGCTGTCTTCCTTCTTGACGTGGGAGCTCTGCCTCCCTTGTCTTTGGGTCAGCGTCCCAAAGAGGCAAAAGAGGAGCGATGCATTTGAAGGGCTGGTCTGAAGCTGAAGGCAAGAAGAGACTCAAAGGGAACACCTGGAAGGCACCTATTTATTATTTGCTTATTTCATAAAATTTATACACCGCTTCACTGGAAAAACAGGCACCACCTCAAAGCGGTTTACAAAGAGAAAACAGTAGCAAGAAAAATTAACAGCAACGTTTAAAGATTTTTTTTTTGGAAAGCGAAAATGACGACAGACCAAAAACAGATTAAAACACATGTTAACTTTCTAACTGAGCTTGTCTAAAGAAAAATGCTTTTAGCTGGGCCCCCAATAAAGTGCCTGCCTAGAATCAATAGGCAGGGAGTTCCAAAGGTCGTGTTCTTACACATGCAGAAGGGATATTTACGCGGCAGCTGCAGCAGCGCTGCTTGTGCAGATCAAAGGGTCAGGTGGGCTCATGTGGGGCAAGACAAATGTCCCGTCCCCATAGATGGAGGCAGCCCCTCCAAAATGGGCTTAGTGGCTCCTGGCCCAACGTATGCCCAGGTGGAAATATGTGTGTGTGACACAGAGACAGGGGTTTTTTTGGGGGGGGGTCTCGCTCTGGGGCATCAGGCCAGCAGCCCCTGAACTGGCCACACAGGTATGACCTCTATCACCTGCCTGAGCCCCATCTGGGGCTGCCGACAGCAGAGGGGCGCAGGACCAGCCAGCCTGGTTCTCCAGGGCCCCCACCTCCCTCTGGGAAGAGGGGCAGGCCCCCCGGAGGCAAAGGATACAGACTGCGGACGTGGTGGCGATGGCGAGGATGGTGCCCGTGGGGATGGACTTCTGAGCGTCACGCAGGTCTCCAGACCTGTTGGAACCAGCCATGATCCCTGGGGAAGAGGGAGGAAAAGGTCAGTCGGAAGGGACCCCCCAGGGTCATCTAGTCCACCCCCCTGCAATGCAGGAAACACAGCGAATGAATCCCCGACAGATGGCCACCGAGTCTCTGTTTTGAAAACTCCAGGGAAGGAGAGCCCCCGCACCTTCCCAGGGAGTCTTTTCCCCTGTCAAACAGCTCTATCACCATCAGAAAGCTTTCCCTAACGTTTGCCTGGAATCTCCTTTCTTGTAACTGGAAGCCATGGGTTCGAGTCCTGCCCGCCAGAGCAGGAGAAAACAAGCTTGCTCTCTCTTCCATGTGACAGCCCTTCAGATATTTGAAGATGGGTTTCATCTCTCCTCTCAGGCTCCTCTTTGTCAAGCTAAACACTTTTGCAAACTCACCACTGGACACCGTATTCCAGGTGAGAGGAGAAGGTCTCCTCATTGGGGAGAATCTCCTGCATCCTCAAAGAGGATGCTTGAAGAGGAAGGGGCTGATTGGCAGGTGGGAGGGGGCAGGGAGGGGCTTCCGATTCTGGGGCCCAGCTGAGCCCCCCGCCAGCATCCCTCTCGGGTCCAGATGTGAGATCCCTTCCTCTCGTTATCGTGGCCCAATTAGTGCCAGCTGTGGTGGTTAATGAGCTGCACATGAGGGTGCTTGTTTGTAACAAGGTCAGGCCAGGACCGGGGCTGCCGTGGGGGCTCCCTCTGTGGAAGCCTTGCAGGACAGAGCACTGCCCCCAACCCAAATAAAAAAAGTGTTTTGTGAGGGGCACGAGAGGAAGAGGCTGCAGTGTCTGGGATCTCGGCCCCTTGAAGGATGTGGGGAGAGAGGAATTCGGCTCAATTCAAGTGCTAAAGGGAAGCGGCCTCATCTGCACATTCCAAAACAATCTGCTGACCGAAACTCAGCTCTCCTTTGAAAGCCACCTTTCCCTGAATTTTGCAATGCCCTTCGGCAACCAAATAAGCTGCACAAAATTGTGTCTATTCTGGGAAATCATATGCAATGCACAGGCTGGTGAATATTTTAGAAATGCATTGTGTCAGAGGAAAAGGCACGCAAAAAAAATGTGTGTGTTAGCGAAAGTGTGTACTGAAATGCTAATCAGTTTTCATGGTGGGTTGTGTTTTTTTTGCTTTTAATAGAACCCCACCCCACAAACTCCTGCTGAACCATGGAGGTTGTTTTCTGCTGCTCCAGAGAAGCGGAAACGGAGCAATGGATCCAAACTACAAGAAAGAAGATTCCACCTAAACATTAGGAAGAACTTCCTGACAGTAAGAGCTGTTCGACAGTGGAATTTGCTGCCAAGGAGTGTGGTGGAGTCTCCTTCTTTGGAGGTCTTTAAGCAGAGGCTTGACAACCATATGTCAGGAGTGCTCTGATGGTGTTTCCTGCTTGGCAGGGGGTTGGACTCGATGGCCCTTGTGGTCTCTTCCAACTCTAGGATTCTATGATTCTAGGATTGAGCCTCACATGGGACAAAAGAGAAGCTGAAATCGACAGGGACGCCAACCCCTGACCTTTGCCCCAAAGGTCTTGCACTGCTCCCTCCCCAGGACTTGAGGAGTGGGCTGCGGGATGAGCCTTTCCCTGCCCTCCCCGGTGTCTGGGGGCTCCAGCCTCTGAACTGGGGTGGGGGCTGCTGTGCTTCTCAATCCTCACCTGCCCCTGGGGCAAAGGGGGGCATCATCAAAATGGCCCGAGGTCCAGGGCTCCATTTATTGCATTGGGGGCAGAAAGTAGGGAGGGGGGATCAATGACGCCCAGCCCCAAACTTCCCCAACCCCCATATGGCCTCCTAAAAGTCATGCCTGGCAGGTGGGACAATTGAGAGCTGGAGGAAGCGCTCAGCACCCGAGACCCGCTCCGTCCCCAGGCACCCTCCTCACCTGTGCCCCAGAGACGCTGCCCCACCTGCGCCCGGGTGCCACCCCCCCCACCGGAGTCCATTACCTGTGACTGAGGGGAAGTAGATGCCCACCAGGAGGGTGAAGTAGGAGGTCATGTCGCTGAAGACGTAGGGCTGCTCCATGTCCAGGAGGGCATCTGCAGGGGCCGCCGAGGTCAACCCAGACTTCTCAATGATCACCCCTTTGGGCAAGTAGGTGCTCCAGAGGTTTTCTGCGGGGGAGATGCCATGAAGCGGGGCGGGTGAGTGGCTGCCATCCCCAGGGGGTGGCCCCACCCTCTACACCTGTGGAGGAAGGCCCCCCAACCCACCGCCAAGCCCCCCACCTTGGGCTGGGTTTGGGCATGGAACAACTGGCACGGTCCCTCTCTGCCTTCTTGCCAGAAATGCCACTAGTCCTGCCCCCAGAGCCAGTCTGAGGCCTCTGCCCCCCTCTGTGCCCCCTTGCCCCTCCCCCTCTAGGCAACTCACCTGCCAGCAGGTCAGGGAAGGGCCTCTGCCCCACGGCACTCTAGGGTTTTAGGGGGCACCGCCTTGATAGATTTTTTGTGTGTGGGTTTACAGATATTCTTAGAGAGAAGGAAATGAACTGCGCCACCCTCCCCATCCTGGAGACACAGCCGCAGGAAAGCGGAGAGCCGGTGTTGGTGTAGCGGTTAGAGTGATGGATTAGGACTTGGGAGATCAAGGTTCGAATCCTGATTGATGCATGCTGACAGCTCATTTATTTGTCTTGGGTTGGGGCGTTGCTGAGGGGGTTTTTGTTGGAGGGGGTATTGTTGCAGATGATACAATATTTTTGTATCTTTATTTTGGACTTATGTGGAAATTGTTCAATTTGGTTGTGTGCTTTTTGAAGTTTTCTTTATTATTTATAACTGCTTTTGAACAACAATGGTGATAGTGGACATCCTTGTCTAGTTCCTTTTTGTATCTTACATTCCTCCGTTATCACCTGGTTTATGCTTAATTTTGCTTTTTGCTCTGAATAAATTGCTGATATTCCTTTCAGAAATTTAGGCCCGTATTTAATTTCTTCAACTAACTTTGTCATGAATTTCCAAGAGACATCGTCAAAGGCTTTTTCAGCATCTATAAACATCATTGCTGTTTTCTTTTCATTTTTGACCTCCAGGTATTCTATTCTATTCAAAATATTCCTCATATTCTCCTTCTTTTGTCTATGTTATGTGGGTTTTTTAAATACGTTGTAAGCCGCCTTGAGCATAGTTTTCACTTTGGAAAGGCGACATACAAATAAAATGATTGATTGATCGATTGATCCCCACTTGGCCCAGAAATTCCCTGGGGGGGCCCTGGGGGGCAAGTTGCCACTGCTCACCTTAGCCTACCCCACAGGGTTGTTGTGAGGATTAAACGAAGAGGGGGAGGAAACGCCCCCTTGAGCTTCTTGGAGTAAAAGGGGGGATATTCAGGCCATAAATGAATAGAGCTGCCCATCTGCCCAGGTCCCCTGCGGCTTTTGGGGCTCCCTGTTTGACCCCCAGTGATGCCACCGAGAGCCCTCCTACCTTTGATGAGGCCGGAAGCAGCTCCCGGGATGCCCTGGATCTCGGTGACGTTGTTGAGGGCGAAGTACTCGTCGCAGGAGGCGTTGAGGAAGCGGGAGGAGCAGAAGAGCCCCCAGAGCTGGGAGCCGATGGTCTCGTTGCCCTCCTGGACCACCTTGGTGCAGGTGTCAAAGCCGTCGCGGGACAGAGTCCGGTTGCCCAGCAGGCAGATCCTGGGGGGGGGGAGAAGGGGAGGGGTCACCTCTTTGCCGCCTCCTGGCCAGAGGGGCCGCCCTGCAGGTTCTGCCCCTTCCCCACCCGAAGGGGAGGAGGGACTATTGATGGACTTAGTTATAGAATTGTAGAAAGCCCAGTGGGAAGGAGAGTACAGGGGTACCTCTGGTTGAGAACGGGATCCGTTCCGGAGGCCCGTTCACAACCTGAAAAGAACGCAACCCGCGTCTGCGCATGTGCGAGATGCGATTCACCAGTATACCTGAAGGAGCGTCTCCACCCCCATCGTTCTGCCCGGACACTGAGGTCCAGCGCCGAGGGCCTTCTGGCGGTTCCCTCATTGCGAGAAGCCAAGATATAGGGAACCAGGCAGAGGGCCTTCTCGGTGGTGGCACCTGCCCTGTGGAACACAGTCCCATCAGATGTCAAAGAGATAACAACTACCTGACATTCAGAGGACATCTTAAGGCAGCCCTGTTCAGGGAAGTTTTTAATGTGTGACAACTTAGTGTATTTTTGGTCTTTGTGGAAGCCGCCCAGAGTGGCTAGGGAAACCCAGCCAGATGGGCGGGGTACAAATAATAAATTATTATTATTATTCTGCGCATGCGTGTGACGTCATTTTGCACGCCTGCGCATGCGCAAGTGGTGAAACCCGGAAGTAACCCTTTCCGGTACTTCTGGGTCGCCGTGGGACGCAACCTGAAGCAAACGTAACATGAGGTACGACTGTATTGAAATGGAGACACACACCCCTCCCACTTTAAACATCATCATCATCATCATCATCATCATCATCATCATCATCGTTACCCCACCTATCTGGCTGGGTTTCCCCAGTCACTCTGGGCGGCTTCCAACGAAATATTAAAATACAATAGTCCTTCAAGTATTAAAATACCTTCAGGTATTTATACTTTAAAGTGAGGATTCCCAAGAAACCCGAGGCCTTTCTGCTAGGTATCGTCAGACCATAGCTTCTGAAGGAATAGTTTCATTTGTTTCTGTATGCTATGACAGCAGCAGAAATAGTCTATGACTCTGCGCAAAAATGGGACGAAAAAGAAGTTCCCACGAAAGAAGGCTGGTGTAGGAAGATGATGGGATACTGTATTTTTCGCTCTATAAGACACACTTTCCCCCTCCTAAAAAGTAAGGGGAAATGTGTGTGCGTCTTATGGAGCGAATGCAGGCTCCGCAGCTTTCGCTGAAGCCAGGAGAGCAAGAGGGATCGATCTCTCTTGCTCTCCTGGCTTCGCTGGAGAGCCGCTGCACAGCTTTCCCTCTCTGCGCAGCGCCCCTTCAGCAAAGCGGGAGGAGAAATGGAAGGGGCTCCATTTCTCCTCCTGCTTCGCTGGAGAGACGCTGAGCACAGAGGGAGAGAACATTTTTTTTCTTGTTCTCCTCCTCTAGAACTAGGTGTGTCTTATGGTCGGGTGCGTTTATAGAGAGAAAAATACGGTATATGCTGAGATAGTGAGACTGAGAATTAGGGAACAAAACAGGGGGAAAGAAATTCTTGAAGGATGGAAATATTTTAGGGGGGAAATATCATGGTTATGTTAAAATGCATGCAAGATTTGAAGTATGGTAACAGATGAGAATTTGCAGTTTAATAATTTGGAATTAACGCATGTAATGGATAAAAGAGAAGTAACATCGCAGCTTTATAAGGGAACGAAAAAACCATGGAAGGTGGATGGGGAGTCAAGGGATATGAGAGATAGGTTTGGATGGTGTTTCCGAAGAATTTGTAAAATTTGTAAAGATAATAATAAATTATATTAAAAAAAGAAATGGAAGCCCCCGTTTGGCGTGGGCCGGGCTGGGGGTTCTTCCTCGTTGGCACTTACGGGAAGCTGGGAGGGTCAAAGGCCGACTTGATGACTCCGGCGTAGATGGCCAGGATGGAGAGGATGACGCAGCCCAGGAAGACCAGGGCAAACTTGTTGACGTACTTGACGCCCACAAAGACCACAGTGGCCATGCAGGTGAGCACACACGTCCCGTAGACACGCATGTTGTTGAGCATGGCAGCCGCTTCTCCACTGGCGTCCTCGCCCTTGAAGATGGCCATTGGGGGGAAGATGTAGGCCTGGAGGAGAGGAAGGAAGGGTTAGGACAGAGTTCCGTTCTACCTTTAGAACAGATGTGTGGAGCTGTTGTGTGTCACATGTCTGTTTACATTCCAGCACAGCTTGCCGGGAACTTCCGTTGTATATAGCTTTTGCTTATGCTGTTTGCTTGGACACGAAGGGGAGCAGACATGTTTTTCCTTTGTCCTGATGCTGAATAAACGCTTGTAAATATGCTTACATATGCCTCTGTCCGCTACTTCTGTTGCAAAGAGTTCTTATCTGTGCTGGCCTGCGTGCTCAGTCTCTAACGGTCTCTGAGGCTTGAGTCGCAATTTTGATGCTATTCCAAGAACCGGCCGGTGGCTGGAGCCAGCTGGGGGCTGCCAATTGCCCCCATCTCCCCGGACGCATCCCAACAGGAAGGAGACCCAACTCAGAGGAAGGCAGGGCCACCCACCCTCAGAATCACAACCTTGTGGGCTTGGAAATGGCCCCAGGGACATGGCGAGCTGCTGGATCAGGCCAAGGGGGCCCCACCGAGTCCAGCATGCGGTTCTCACAGCAGCCAAACAAACGCCCATCATGGGAAACCAAGGAGCAGGATCCGAGCACCAGAGCAACTCTCCCCTCCTGTGGCTTCCAGCTGCCTCCGACTGTGGAGGCAGAGCAGAGCCATCCTGGCTAGGAGCCCTTGGTAACTTTTCCTCCATGAACTTGTTTTGCTGGCCATGACTGCCTCCTGTGGCAGGGAGTTCCACAGTTTATCCACTGCGTGACAGACTCCAACATTCAGTTTCATTGGATTCCCTTGAGTTCTAGTGTTTGGGGGGGGAGCTTTTCTGTGCCGTGCATAACTTCTATCATGTCACCTCTTACTTGCCTTTTCTCTAAACTATTATTCGTATTATTCGTATTATTAGTATTAGTGCTTCACCTGTAGATCTTAGCAGGGTTCACAACATTAAAATACAGTGGACGCTCGGGTAGCGAACGTGATCTGTGCGGGATGCACATTTGCAACCCGCAGCGTCCACAACCTGCAGTGGTGTGTCTGCGCTCGCACAGGTTGCGATTCGGCACATCTGTGCATGCGCAAAGTGCGATTTAGCGCTTCTGTGCATGCACAACCGCTGAAACACAGAAGTAACCCGTTCCGGTACTTCCGGGTTTTGGCGGTCCGCAACCCCAAAAAACACAACCTGAAGTGTCTGTAACCTGAGGTATGACTACAAAAAACACATCATAAAACAAGAACAAACCCATAGCCCCCTGCTTGCCACCAACTGCACAGCCCCCAATGCTGCCCCTTTCCTCTTAGGAGAGTTGCTCTACCTAATAATAATAATAATAATAATAATAATAATAATAATAATAATTTATCATCAGTTTGGTCCAGTCCAACCTCCTGCAATGCAGGAATCACAGCTAATGAATCCCTGGCAGACGACCCCCCCAACTTTGGCTTAGAAACCTCCAAGGAAGGAGAGTCGGCCACCTTCCTCTTGCCCCCCAAAGTTCTGCCTGATGTTCAGTTGGAAACATTTTTCTTGCACTTTGAATCTGGAGCAGCACAAAAACCAAGCTGGCTCCACCTTCAGTGGGGCAGCCCTCCGGGTGCCTCTCATGCCAGGTCTCAGAAGTGGACCAAGCAGCTCCCCAGAGGGGCGAGGGGTGGGCCCAGCTGGAGGTGGGGGTGCAGGAGGGTCTCCTTCACTGACCTGGCTCCATGGGGCTGGGGGGGGGGTTCTGTCCTCGCTTGGGTCAAATGAGGGCAGAGCTGTGCATCTTGCAAAACAGCGGGGGGGGACGACACCCCTCTCACAAGCTGCAAAAAGGGTTCTGGGAGCCCAGAGACGCAGATGAGCTTATTGCACCAAAAGGAGATTAAATTACCCCAGCTCATTTTAATGCTTTTAGCGTGGCTGACAGCTCCCCAATCTCAGGGTGATAATTAATCTGTGAAAGGATATATGCTACGGATTGTCAGTTCACATATCTTCACGGCGGAGGCATAATTCCACACTTGAGCATCTTGGAAACGCGAGTTATTTAATATATGTGATAAGTGCTGAAATGGCCTCTTTAGCAAGAGCCTGGGTGAGAGGGTGACATAAACGATCCCATTTGCGCCTAGAAATTGGGAACAATGAACTCTGGCGCTGAGCAGTGGGACGTGGGAATATGCGAGGGGCTCCTCTTGGAAAAGGACGGCTGCGGCTTTCTAAAAGACAGAGGCTGCTGCTCCTTTTGCTGCTAGGATTTTCCATGGTGGTTTAATTTTGATTGCAAATGTTTCCTGAGAAGAGTGACGTGGTTGGAAAGCCCAGAGCTGTGACTGGGGAGTGGGTTTCTCCAGCCTCATCCTCTGCCGGCTGACCCTCCCTCCTTGCCCAGAAAGGGAGGAGGGGGACTTGTTGGGGGGGGGGCTGCATCTGCAAAAGTCCTTTGAGCCGACAGGGACAAGCTTTGCATCCAAAACACCCCCAGCTTCATTATATTCTCCCTTTTGCAGGGAGACAAAAGCACAAGCGGGAAAAACAAGCAGGATATTATGCCGGAGAGAGCAAATGAAGGATACGGAGATGAGATATCATGTCACTTAAGCTTTTTGCTTACATCTTCTAAAAGAAAAAAAGGGAGACAGGACAGCTATTCTTCCGCCTCGGGATCCAGTGTCATTATTTATGTTTGCTTTTAAAAATATATCTATTTCTAGTTCCTTCGAAGGGAGTCTTTCATGAACTCCTTTTCTCTTCCAAGGCAGGGGCTGCATTGTATTTTCTTAAAGAATCTCTTTTCATGGAATGGCAGAGTCGGAAGGGACCCCAAGAGTCACCGAGTTCCATCCTGACGCTCTGCTTTCTGTGGACCAAAATGAAACCCAGAAGCCGCTCTTTGCAAATCCAGCCGCCATGCCAGGAGCCACTCAGGTATTCCGAGGTTGTTCTGCTTTGAGAACAAGGCTGCATTGCACAAGAGCTCCTTCGGGCAGCGGCAAAGAGATTTTATTTTGGGAAAGAATTTGATATTTGAAAAATGGGGAGGGGGGGAAGCACTGAAGTCATCATGGGGAAAATCAGAACTTTGTTAGACTTTCTTACCCTCCAGATTCACTCTTCCTGGGCTGGCGTGTTGTTGCCCAAGTCGGCTTTTATTTTAGATTGTGTGGAAATTGTTCAGTTTGGTTGTGCACGTTCAAATGTTGTATTTATCGTTTATGACTACTTTTGTTGTGTTGCAGTTGTGCATTTTTTCCACGCTGCAAGCTGCCTTGAGCATGATCTGAACTGCAACACAAGGATCCGCCTGTGTGAGAAGCATTATGGTCTGGCAGCGGAGAAGCCATGCAAATCCCACAGAGGGATAAGAAGGAAGGCAGGTCACAGGAGCTCTGCCAGCTGAACAGCTTCACCTTCACCAGAAGGACTTGAAAATTGGCCTGGCGGGGGTTAAACAAGACACTTTTAAAATGGATTTCCTCCCACCCAGTGAAGGCCAAAGGGCTTGGGGTCCCGTGCCCCTACCCTGCCCGCCCGCCCTGCTCTCGGTCTGCCTGCCGCCACTCACCAGCAGAATCTCTCTCTCTCCCTTTGAAAATTGCTTTATTGAACTTTTAAAAACATAACACAAAATCAAAGTTATATTAAAAAAAATATTATCAAAATCTGTTACATTTTTTCACAGTCTTCTTTTGGTTCTAATGACTTCCCACCAATTCCATATAGATTTAAGTGTGTATTTAACTAGTGCACTACAGTGGTACCTCGGGTTAAGAACTTAATTCGTTCCAGAGGTCCGTTCTTAACCTGAAACTGTTCTTAACCCGAACCACCACTTTAGCTAATGGGGCCTCCCGCTGCCACTGCACTGCCGAAGCACAATTTCTGTTCTCATCTTGAAGCAAAGTTCTTAACCTGAAGCACTATTTCTGGGTTAGCGGAGTCTGTAACCTGAAATGTATGTAACCTGAAGCGTATGTAACCTGAAGCGTAAGTAGCCTGAGGTACCACTGTATTCATCTCTGCTTTTAATAATTACTTATTAAAGATATTGTACTTTCTTAAACTTATTCAGTAGACTACAGAAGCTATTCAAAAGCTGCCACAGACTTCATGCTATTACAATCTTTAACTTTTAAATAAACCCCATTTATTTAAAAAAAATACTTGGTCTGCATGGTCTCTTATTTTTCCTGAAAGCTTAGCCAGCTCTGCGTATTCCATTCATTTTTGTTGCCACTCCGACTTTGATGGTATTTTTCCTCCTTTCCAATTTGTGGCTATTAAAATTCTTGTGGCCACTGTCACGTATAAAAATAGCTCCCTTAGATTCAGGACCTAATATTTGAAGAAGGAAAGCCTCTGGGGATTTTTTATATACAAACAAACCCTTAAACATTTTTTAAAGTTCCATATATATTTCATCCCAGAATTCCTTATTTTTTTTGCATGTCCACCACATATGCAGCATAGGTCCCACTCACCAGCAGAATCTCGATGGTGCCCAGGATGTACATGGCACCTGCAAAAGTGGTGCCCAGGTAGAAGCAGAGCCCCACAGCGCCCCCAAACTCAGGGCCGAGCGAGCGGGAGATCATGTAGTACGACCCGCCAGCTGGAGACAAACGGGGGAGAGAGAGAGAGAGAGAGAGAGAGAGAGAGAGAGTTAAGCTTTCATATACGCATAAGACAGCATCTTCAAAAGCAGAGACATCACCTTGCCGACAAAGGTCCGTTAAAGCTCTGGTTTTCCCAGTAGTGATGTATGGAAGTGAGAGCTGGACCATAAAGAAGGCTGATCACCGAAGAATGGATGCTTTTGAATTCTGGTGCTGAAGGAGACTCTTGAGAGTCCCATGGACTGCAAGAAGATCAAACCGATCCATTCTGAAGGAAATCAGCCCTGAGCGCTCACTGGAAGGACAGATCCTGAAGCTGAGGCTCCAATACTTTGGCCACCTCATGAGAAGAGAAGACTCCCTGGAAAAGACCCTGATGCTGGGAAAGATGGAGGGCACAAGGAGAAGGGGACGACAGAGGACGAGATGGTGGGACAGTGTTCTCGAAGCGACCAGCATGAGGGAGGCAGTGGAAGACAGGAGTGCCTGGCGTGCTCTGGTCCAGGGGGTCACGAAGAGGCGGACACGACTAAACGACTAAACAACAACATACGCATAAGCATAAAGTAGCCCCAAAACTTGCGCAGGAGCAACCTGCTGGGGGTCTGAGTGCCAAGGCAAAATTGCACAAAGTCAGGAAGACCCAACAGAACCGGTCTCTCCTGCGTGACCATCCCTCCCTTACTGGGCTTTTTGGAGGTCCTGTGAGATCTCGTGGGGCCATCGCAAGATCTCAGATGGTGCCTTTCAATGGTTTTCCCTTCCTCCCTTTATTTATTTTCCTAACAGCCACACAGAGCTGCAATCGTGCAAGTAAATCACACATAAGCTGTGGTTCTGCTGTGCTTCATCTCTGTGCTGGCGCAAGTCTGGGGGGTGAGTGAGGCTGGTTAGGCACCTGTGGTTGACATGCCCCGAGGCTGCCAGTTTGGGGGAGCAAGCGTCTAATGAGAGAAGTAAAATCACACATGTCATGAAGTCTCCAGAGCTGGCATTCCCAAATCTGCATTGAAATGAGAATGAGGGCTTGGCAGATGAGCCATCAGCTGGGTTTTGCTTAGTGGCAGCATATGTGAAGGACTTGAATGGTGCAAACTTGGACTCTTGGGACAAGAGAGGGTGGCGTGTCGCCCTTATGGGGTGAACTGACCAGCAAATTAGGTCTGGCACAAAGACACCTTTGCAGGAGAATGTGGGAGCTTTATTTCATTCACAAATTTGAAACTTCATTTCACTTTGGAACTCCCTGCCTCTTGATATCAAGCAGGAGCCTTCACTATCCTTTCTGCCACCAGCTAAAAACATCCTTGCTGCGACAAGCCAGCCCAGGTGCTTAGAAATGCTGGAGTGAATTTTGATCCATTTAAGTCTTCGTATGTTTTAAAGTATTGTAAATCTTCTTGTTTTTATCTTTTTGTAAACTGCTCTGAAGGCTTTGCTTTTCAGCATCCGAGTGGTGTATAAATTTTATGAAACAGACAAATAAAATAAATTAATGAATCTCCAGAACACCAAAGTCCAAGTCCCAAGGGTTTGTGGGTCTCGTAACTTGTGAGTCACGTCATAAGAATATGTTTTACAGATGTTATATGTTATGGTGTGGGGGGGAATACAGGTTTGCATAAAAGAGACCCCCATCCTGCCATCATAAAATCCTTGTAGCCAATGCCAGCATTTGGGCACTGGGGTGAGGGGAAATTGGAGAGCAACTGCAGACCCCCCAAGTGTCCCTATTTTCCAGGGACGTCCCTGATTTAGAGAAGCTGTCCTGGTTTCTGATCTGACCCCAGAATGTCCTGCTTTTCTTTAGGATGGCCCTATTTTCCTTGGAGAAATGTTGGAAGACATGGAGTTACCCAACCCCTGAGCTGTCTGAAGGCAATCCTGTAGATAGAGGGAAGGCTTCTTTTAAAATGCTTGATGTTTTATTATGCTTTTATATATGTTGGAAGCCGCCCAGAGTGGCTGGGGCAATCCAGTCAGACGAGTGGGGTATAAAGAGAAAAATTATCATTATGGCATGGGACGTCCCTATTCTCATTGGAGAAATGTTGGAGGGTATGCAACTGAGTGCCCACACCCTTGGATAATGCCAGCGGCCATTGCCTGGCCTCCCAGCTGTACCTCCTGCTACGCGCCAACCCTGTAAGGCAGCCCTAGTGTGATGGCCTGGGACTCGAACTCGGAACCAGAAGAGTCTCAGTCCACATGGGATCCTTTGCCTCAGGCGGCAGCTGAACCTAGTCTGGGGCCTGATCCTGAAGAGTCCCAGTCTGCACAGGTTCCCCTGCAAGAAACACCAGCTGGGCCGAGTCAGGGGCCTGAGCCTGCCCTGGCTCCAGATGCGGGGATGACCTCCTTGCCTCCAGCTGGGCCATCACTTACAGCTGCTCCACTACCGGTTGGGTCAGGGAGGCTGAGGCGGCCTCTGGGTTTGTAACCCACCGACGTCTCCCAAGCTGCAGAGACTGAGGTCTGAGAGAAGGAGGGACCTGAGTACTCGCAGGAGGAGTGCTCGCCTTCAGGCAAAACAGGGAGGTGAGTCGCCGGGGGATCAGGACCGGCCATTACCCAGACAGAGATAAAAGGCTGTCAGACCCCGCCCCAGGTTGCAGGAGCAATGTTTGCCAGAACCTGCCTGTGATTGTCCTTGCCTGGTTTCCTGCCTCGTGTCCTGCCTTGGCCCTGCCGGACTGACTCCTAGCAGAACCCTTTGATTCGGGACCGGACCTGGACTGCGTTGCTCAGGTTTACCCCCGGGCCAGCACACCTAGCAGGACAAAGTGGCTGCGGAAGAGGGAGGCAGAGGCAAGGTGGCTTGGCAGGGTGGGGGGGAGGTGGCACCAAGGCGCTGGCAAGCCGCCAGGGGGAGTGCTGAGGAAGACCCCCCTCCCCTTGGCCTGGGGCTCCGCATTTGCAGGTGGACAAACAACACAGACACAAAGGACTCTACCCACCTGGCACGACTCCATTGGTGGCAATGGCACTCATGGAAATGGCGGTCAGCATCGTCTGTGAGGAGGGAAAGGCAGAGAGGTAGGAGACTTGCAATGAAAGAGGGTTTGGTGGGGGGGATTAGAAGTGCAGAATTGGGAGGGACCCCCAGAGGCCATCTAGCCCAACCCCCGCGATGCAGGAATGAGCGCCAGGTTGGTCTTCCCGGGTTTACCTCTTCCCAAGGCATGACAAGGCGAGACCCTCTGTTCCCCCCCTAGATTGTTTTGTCCAGCTCCCGGATGATGGAGAGTGGAGACGGCACTTGGGGGGGGGGCCAAGGGGTCACTAGGAAGCCAAGGGCCAGAGGGAACCCCAAGTAGGAGAAGGCGCAAGAAGCCAAGTCAGGAAAGTGGCCCCAGGCAGGTGGAGATGGAGGGGGCGGAGAAGCAGGTGAGGGTGGGACCATAAGGACATTTGCATCTATCAGAAATCAGTCTTTTGGTAGGGCAGCACTGGCACTGCGGAACTCCCTGCCTCTTGACACCAAGCAGGTGCATTTGTTGTGCTGAAACAGCATTTGTTTGGCAAGCCTCCCCAGACATTTAGGGTGCTGTTGTGTTTTTAGTTTATTGTTGGTTTTAATTTTTTGAAGGTTTGTATTGCTTTTACTAATAATCTTACTGTTCTGTTCTCTTTTTGGTAAACTGTTTTGAGTTTTCTTTACAATCAAGCAGTATATAAATGTTATGAAATAAATAAAATAAAATAAAAAAATAAAAAATAAGAAAATCTTTCTGGATCAGACCAGATTCCCCCCAAGGCAAACCCACAAGCAGGATCCCAGATCAACTTTCCCCTCCTGAGGATTCCAGCATCTGGGATTCAGAGACATTGCTGTCTCCAGCTGTGAAGGCAGAGCAGAGCCCGCCTGGGTTGTCAGTCATACAAGGAAGTCACTCTTATTTTGAGAAGCTCAGAGGCTCTCAGGGTCTGGGAAGCGGCTTCCCCTTGAAGCCCACCCCTTGCCTGTGCTGCTGAGACCCCTCCTCTTGCAGGGTCCCCCCCCATTTGGCCCTTGTGTCCCCCTGGAATGGGGGCCACATTCATCCAGCCAGGAACCAGCTCAAAGGGGCCGGGGGACCCACAGGGCCAGATCCACACTCCCCCCCCCATCAGACACTGTGTGCAACACAGCGCTGTTAAAATTTCCCTTTCATTTATCCTCAAAGGGCATTCGAAAGAAAGCAAAGGCGATGATGCCCATTTTCCAGAACAGGCTTGCATTTGAAAAGTGTTGCAGCTTGCTATACTGATTTCTTTATTCTTCAACCCGATGTATAGGCTGCTTGATTTGAAAATAAATAAATCTGTAAGTGCTTTCATAAAACAATACTTGTCAAAAAAGAAAACCCGCAAAACCAACAGACTCCAGACAAAGAGGTCGCCTTAATGAAGTGGTGCAAAATATAAACGGAAGCAACAGAATTTAAAAACAAGTAAAATTCCATGTCTGGTTAGGCTTGTGAAAACAACTTTTGGTATTAGCTGGGATTCCTGCATTTCAGGGGGTTGGACTAGATGACGAACGGAGCCCCTCAAAATCGACCGCTCTGAGATTCTGTGATTTGTTTCGCTGAATCAGACTTTGCAAAACCAGAGCCCTGCCCTCCTCCTTCCTGTTGGGGGACAGGGACTTGAACCCAGGGCTTTAGGGCTGCCCCAACCAGCCAGAAGGGGGTCCCTTTGGGGGGGGTTGAGGGCAGGTAATGGGGTGGGGAGAGGTGGGGGCTGAATCAACTTGGCAAGGCTGCTTCCTGGGGACGGCCGGGAGATGGATGGGCTGAGCGGTGCCTTTGGGGCAGGATGCAGCTGGATGAGTCCCCGGGAGGCAGGCGGGGATTAATCAGCTTCGCCGCACCATTGCCCATCCAGGCAGGTGTATCCATCCCCAGCGCCGGCAGCTGCCGTCCTATGCCTGGCCTGGCTGCGTCCCCCACTGGCACATAGAGTCCTGGAATTGTAGAGGGGGAAGGGACCCCCAAGGGCTCTCTAGTCCAGCCCCCGTAATGCAGGAATCGCAGGTGAGGAATCCGTGACAGGTGCTCCTCCACCCTGCAATCTACCTGCCTGCTGTGCCAACTGGGACAATTTATTGGACCTTCTGCTGTATTTATTTTCTGGACTGCAGTTCTGAATTACCTGTGTGTTTGTTAATAGATCTATTTAGTAGCTTTGATTACACACACACACACATACCCCAAATTTAAAAATCATAAAACTGAAGAGCTGGGTGGGACCTGCAATTCAGACATCACAGCTTGAGAAGCCCTGACAGGGGGCCACCCAACCTCTCTTTCAAAACCTCCAAGGAGGGGGAGCCTGCCACCTTCCCAGGTCGTCTGTCCCACTGCCAACCATCCCAAAGGGCAGCCGTGAGCTTCCCACGTGACCCCCCCCAACCTGGGGTGAGACCTTAAAGATTGGGGCAGAATGTGGGCATTTTGAAGGGCTCCTCATTTTGACCTTCCTTCCCTAAGTTTCCGGCCAGAGCGATAGCCTGGACTGCCGGCCCTGAGGAGTCCTGCCTGCCTGGTGAAAACGGGGGGGGGGCTTCTCCCCCTCCCCACTCTGCCCACGGGGTCCCCAAGGAGGGGGCGACTCACGCAGGAGCAGCAGAGGATGACCATGCAGAAAGACTCCATGATGCCCGCGATGCCAACGACCCACGTCAGGCGGAGGAAGAGGATGACGCCGAAGATGTTCTGCAGGCATGGCAGGTAGACGCCCATGAAGGTGCCCATCTGGGGAGCCTGCAAGGGGAGGGAGCAGAGAGGGTGGTCAGGCACCCGGGGGGGCAGAGCAGGACGGATACCCCCCCTCCTCCCAGGCTCAGGAAGGAAGGGGCCCGGGTGCCTTGGGGAGCAGGCCGGGTGAGCGGGTGAGGGGCTTGCTCTCAGAACTACCTTCCGCCGTCCTGGCAGAGGAGCCTCTTCCCCTGGCACTGGGCAGAGGAAAACATCTGGCAGCAGTGAAGGATGGAGGTGCCTTGCCAGGCTGTGCCAGGGGAGGGAGAGGGCAAGGAGCGCTCAAAGGTTCCTCAAGACAGTTCAAACAAATCCTTTCTTCCTCGCTCGCGTTTCAACACTTATGCAGAAAGTGGTGCAATAATGCCAGGAAACAATTGGTGGGGTCACACGGGGGGCTCAAAGTCCCGTCAAGAAGGATTTCTTTGTTTATTCGCAAGCCCACTTTCTTCTCCACGGAGCGCAAGGTGGGGGACATGGCTGCCTCCCCATCTCGTTTAATCCCCACAAGAAGAATCTCAAGGGCCGCCTCTCCCCATATAACCGACCTGGACCCCGAGATCATCACCTGAAGCCCCTTCTTCACGTGCAGATAACTGAGGCACGGGGTGACTCTGTGCCACCGGGATTTGCAAATGTAAGACTGTGTGGAACCTTTATTCTCAAGAATGGTGGATACTTTTATTTGTATAAATCTGTATTATTTGCAAAGGGAATACTTTACTATCCCTTTGGAGCTGCTCTGTATTTTTACACTCTTGTCCTTCCTGGCTGTGACACTTCATGGTTTGCATGTTTTAATTCCTCCCCCCCCCCCCCGCCTATATTTGCACTTCATTTTTTGTTAAAAACCCATTTTGTTTTATTTTTTAAAAAAGAACAACACAGCCACAACACAGCCACGGAGAGTCCACAGGCAGCAGCTCAGCCCCTGAGCCTCTGGAAAGGAGGCGCAAACTTGGGGTCCAGAGCCAAGCCCCCCTCCGCCCACAACCCCACAAGGAACCCCGCAGAGGCAAAGACCAGTCTCCTGGTGCCCCCTCCCCTGACTGGCTCACCTTGACAGGCTTCTTCTTGGCTCCCTCGTTGTTCTCCGCCTCCTCGTGCTCCCGGCTGCCCTGAGGCAGGTTGGTGTAGTTGGCCAGGCCGCTGAGCATGGACGACACCATGGGGATGGTGTCCATTTCCTCCTGTGGGGCAGAAGGAGGAGCAGGGCTGAAGAGAGGTTCTCCAGAGGGGTTCTCCACATCCCCCTTGGCCCACAACTGCCTCTCCGCTCCCCCAACCCCCCGCTCTGCACACCCCATTTCTCCCTTGAAATGCAGGTGATGCTGCTACCTTAAGCTGTTGATCCAACTAGGCCAGTGCTGCCTACTTTGGCTGGCAGCAGCTCCCCTGGTCTCAGGCAGAGAGGGCAGAGCTCTTTCTTTTTTCTTTTCTTTTCATAGAATCATAGAAGAGTTGGAAGAGACCACAGGGGCCATCGAGTCCAACCCCCTGCCAAGCAGGAAACACCATCAGAGAACTCCTGACATATGGTTGTCAAGCCTCTGCTTAAAGACCTCCAAAGAAGGAGACTCCACCACACTCCTTGGCAGCAAATTCCACTGTCGAACAGCTCTTACTGTCAGGAAGTTCTTCCTAATGTTTAGGTGGAATCTTCTTTCTTGTAGTTTGGATCCATTGCTCCGTGTCCGCTTCTCTGGAGCAGCAGAAAACAACCTTTCTCCCTCCTCTATATGACATCCTTTTATATATTTGAACATGGCTATCATATCACCCCTTAACCTCCTCTTCTCCAGGCTAAACATGCCCAGCTCCCTTAGCCGTTCCTCATAAGGCATCGTTTCCAGGCCTTTGACCATGTTGGTTGCCCTCCTCTGGACACGTTCCTGTTTGTCAGTGTCCTTCTTGAACTGTGGTGCCCAGAACTGGACACAGTACTCCAGGTGAGGTCTGACCAGAGCAGAATACAGTGGCACTATTACTTCCCTTGATCTAGATGCTATACTCCTCTTGATGCAGCCCAGAATTTTCCTTTTTTTGCTGCATTCTGAACTTTATTGGGAAATTACAGAGTGTTTAAAAACAGGGTCTTTGCTTCATAAATAGTCCATTCATAAATGGGGACGTTGTGCCAGAGGTGGAGGGGCAGCCCCCCCCATAAAAGGGGTCTCCTCTCCCTTGGACAAGGCGGATGGAGGGTGCCGCATTGGACAGCCATGTGCCCCCATCCTGCCCCCCCTGCGGAATCTGGCCCCTCAGGCCTCCTTGGGGCCCCGGCTGGCTGGATTCTCCCCCTTCCTCCCCCCCTTTGGCTCTGGGGGGCTTGGACTCTGGTCAGCCTTGGCTTTCTCTCCCTTGGCTTCTTTGGTTTCCTTGGCCGCTGCAGGCACCTTGGCCTCTGCCTGGGGGGGCCCTCGTCCTCGTCCCCCCCGTCTTGCTTTCCTTAGACACAGCTTTCCGGGGGGGGCACTGGGTGTGTTTGCCGGGAGGGCCTTGGAAGAGCTCCGTTTCTGGAGGATTGGGGCCTCTTTCTCCCCCCCCGGGGGGGGGGGACTTCTTTGCCTTGGGCTTCGCTGGAGATTTGCCTGGCTGCTTGCTAGCCTTCGCCTTGGTCCTCTTGCTGGAAGCCGCCTCCTCCTTCTCCCCTTCTGCTATTGCTCCCTGCCTCTGTTTCTCCACAGGAACCTTTGCTGTGGGATTCTTGGCCGCTTTCTTCGGTCTGGGCGCTGTTTTTCCATCCGAATCCGAATGCTCTTCTTTCCCTTGGCTTCTTTGTGCCCAGCTTGAATCTCCCTGTGGCCCCCAGTGCGGAAGAGTTTTGTGGCCGGATGAGGCAGCCCCTTTCCAGGCCTTTGGCCAGGGCCACCTTCAGGCCGTACTTCATTTTTTTTTTTTTGCAAATAGATTTTTATTAGTTTTCCACTATACATACATATAAACATACATATACTATATAAGTTACATAAAGTACATATACCATACCCATTTCCCAAATCATATATATATATTACATATTTATCTTAGGCTCTACCTAGCCCTGGACTTCCCTCCACTTCTTTGGTAAGTATCAAATAGGTTGTGATGTCGCATAGTTCATCTCCTTTATTTAATGTCCATACGCTGTTAGAGTTCTTCCAAGCCTGCCAGTGCCTTCAGATTTCTACAGTTATCTCTTATATACATCAAATGTTTGTTCCAATTTTCATAAAACCTCTGTTCATCCTGGTCTCTTAATCTTCCTGTTATTTTGGCCAGTTCAGCATAATTTATCATCTTAACCTGCCAATCGCTTATAGTAGGTATTACTTCCATTTTCCAATTTTGGGCTAACATAGTTCTTGCAGCTGTCGTGGCATATAGAAACAGATTTTTATCTTCCCTTTTAATTTCTTTGCCCATCATTCCCAGCAGAAAAGCTTCAGGTCTTTTTAGGAAGGTATATTTAAAAAAAAAAAAATTAAGTTCATTGTAAATTGATTCCCAAAAGCCTTTCACTTTGCTGCATGTCCACCACATATGGTAGAAGTCACCTTCCACCTCTCCACATTTCCAGCATTTCTTGTTTTTCAATCTATAGATCTTTGCCAACGTCACCAGCGTGAGATACCACCTATAGATCATTTTCCAAAGGTTTTCCCTTAATGCTACATATGCCGTGAACTTTATATTAACATTCCATAATTCTAACCACGCTGCAAAATCAATATTATGACCGATATCTATAGCCCATTTGGTCATAGCTTCCTTCACCTCTTCGTCCTTTGTATACCAATCCAATAGGAGATCATACATCTTAGACAGTAATTTATTTTTGCCTTCTATAATGTCCACATTGAATTTAGATTTTTTTATCCTCGAATCCCAATCTTTTTTTGTCATATTTTAAGAGATCGTTGACCTGATGGTACTGGAGCCAACCTGTAAGTACATTCTTTACCTCGTCATAGGACTTAAGTTTTAAACCTTGATTAGTTTTTTTAAGAAGTTCTTCATAGGTTGCCTTTTTCCCTTCCATGTTAGTTTTTTTAACGGTTAATACCTCTATTGGTGTTATCCACCAGGGAGTTTTCTTTTCCAGCAGATTCTTATTTCTTTCCCAGGCTTGAAATATTGGTCCTCTAATTATGTGACTTAAAAATCCCCTATGGACTTTTGCCTTCTCGTACCACAGGTACGAGTGCCACCCGTACCTGTTGTCAAATCCTTCTGGGTCCAGGATATCGGTGTTTTCTAGTTTTATCCAATCTCTCACCCACACTATACACGCCGCCTCATAATAGAGACTCAAGTCCGGCAGGGAGAAGCCCCCTCTTTCCTTTTTATCCACCAATATTTTCATTTTTATACGCAGTCTTCTTCCCTGCCAGACGAATCTCACTAAAGTTCTTTGCCATTCTTTACACTGTTTTAGCCCTTTAATTACTGGAATAGTTTGAAATAGAAATAACATTCTGGGCAAAACATTCATTTTGATCACCAATATCCTCCCTAAGAAAGAAAGCTTCAGTCTTTCCCAGATTTCTAGGTCTTTCTTAATACCCTTCCAAGTAGCCTCATAGTTGTCCTTATATAGATTTATATTTTTTGCTGTAATCCACACTCCTAAATATTTCACCTTCTTGGCTACCATAATTCCCGACTTTTGTTCTAATTCTATTATATCTTCTTTGGTTATGTTTTTCGTCAACATTTTGGTCTTCTTCTTGTTAGGTTTGAGACCTGCTACCTTGCCAGATTCTTCTAAACTCTGTAAAGCTTCTTGCAGACTGGTCTTTGGATCTTCCAATGTTAATACTATGTCGTCCACAAAGGCTTTTACTTTGAATTCCTTACTCCCTACCTTAATTCCTTTAACCTCCGGTGTTTCCCTCAATCTCTTATTAAAGACCTCCAGCACGGTTATAAATAGTAAAGGAGACAGGGGACAACTCTGCCTAGTCCCTTTAGCAATATCAAAGGCTTCCAAAATGTTGTTATTTATTATAAGTTTGGCTTTTTGTTCTTGGTAAATGGCTTCAATACATTTTCTAAATCCTTCCCCCACTCCCATTGCCTTCAAGTTTTCCTTCATAAACCGCCAAGAAACATTATCGAATGCTTTTTCGGCATTCAGGCCGTACTTCAGGCGGATGGGGTCCACCCCGGGGTAGGTGCCCAGGATGTAGTGCTTTATGGCCACGACAGAGGCCCCCTTGCGCTCATCCAGGGTCTTCACCGCCTCCATCACCATGGTCAGCGTGGGCGGGTTCTGCACCTTGGGGCGGTTCAGGGGGGCCGGGGGGCCGGCCAGCGAGGCAGAGGACTTGGCTGCTGACAACACCTCCATTGAAAGCAGCTGCCCAACTCTTCCTCCCTTCCCACCTCAGGGAAGAGGTCTTTGTCATCACCTGAGCCTGTTTGGAGAAGCCGGGCCTTGAACTGTACGTCATAGCTGTCAACCGTCCCCCTTTTTCTTTTTTTTTATAATAATTTTTATTAACAGGCCAATCACATCACATTAATTCCAAATCACATTAGTTCCAAATTACACAGCCAAATTTTTAATTTTTTGTTGGGGGTACCCATACTTCGTGCTCCGAAAGGGATCCAAACATCACTCTTGCTGCTGCTTTAATGTACCTTCTCTTTGTTGTTTTCCTCATCTTCTTGTTGTTATCATATATTCCTTTCTTTGTGATCTCTGATAGTCTCCACAAGCGGGTTGAAAACAAATGTGGTGGTATCCTGTGTGGATTTTACACTCCTCCAAGAGCCATATCAAGATAGACAGACGCCATTACCGCACCTCCGTGCAAAACATTCCCACAGTCTGTCCGTTGATTTCCACAGGCCTGCCAGTCTCTCATCAATTTTCTCAGGGGGCCCTGCCAGGTCCAACTCACATTCCGATATGGTACCAAGCCATGGTCCTCCTCCCCCTCGTCCTCCTGTAGGCAGGCCTGCCGTAATAAATCTCTTTTTATTGCTGCGTCACAAAGAACTTTCATTCCTTCCCAATCTTCCCACCAGCCATGTCTTTGATTAATAATTTATTTCCACACATTTCCTAATCCTCCTGCTTGTGATCAGTAATTACAACGATTCTTTCTTTCTTGGGGGGGGCGGTTATTAGGTACTCACATAAGACAAAAAAGAAAAGTTTTTTCCCCTCCCCTTTTCAGTTCCGCTACATACCAATCCTTTGATGAATCTTCTTCTTGATTTATTGTTCCAGCCCGTCGCTTCCACTTCACAGAGATCCCTTTAATTAGCAGTCTTTACTCCCGATCTTCACTTGAAGTATGTGCATTTGCTTCTTTCTAATTGTTTATTTCGAGCTGCTGCAACTAGTGCATGATCAGAGACAGCGTCCGGGAGAGCCGGACCCACACAAGGGCTTTGTGCCTAGTGCTCTCACCCCCTTCTTTCAAATCCGGGGGTGATTTATGGTCACAGCAGGCAAGGCAGTGTTCCCCATTCCCTTGGGGCAACAAGGGAGGCTGCATACTCCCATATCAGCCTCTTAATTAACTCATGTGGGTCGGAGAGATGGTATTGTCAGCCATCTTCCAATGTGCCCCTAGCAGCCCCCCAACTGTTCCCCCCTTGTTTTAAGGGGAATTCCCTTATTCCGAATAGGATTCCTCGCCAGAAAAGGGAAAAGTTGACAGCTATGCTGTACATAAGGACATAATAGCCTGCTGGATCCGGCCAGGGCCCATCTAGTCCAGCAGCCTCTTCTCACAGTGGCTGAACCCATGGGAAGCCCACAATCTGAGCACAATGGTATTCACAGGTAGGCTGTGCCTGAGCATGGAGGTTCTGCTACCACAATAGACCTCCCTAAGAAGGGCCTGTGGATCAGGCCAGGGGTCCGGCTAGCCCAGCATCCTGCTCTCACAGTGGCCGACCAGATGCCCAGATGGTAAACCCAGAATCAGGATTCGAGCGCAAGAGCAACTCTCGCCTCCTGCAGCTTCTAGCAACTGGGATGCAGGAGCACGGCTGCCTCCCAATGTGGAAACCCAGTTTGCGTGTCTGCTCTCTAACTCTCTGTGTTTCCTTCTCTCTTTTTTAATGGTTTTTATTAAGAATTTCAACATAACGAATTATCAAAAACTTATCTTCATCCCCCCCCCATTTCCCCCCTCACCCCTCACCAAGAAAAACCCTCCCTCCCTCCCCCCCACCCCCACCCCAGACTTCCCTCAGCTCCTCTCTCTGATTTTTCAACACAAATTATTCTCTGCATATTATAAAATTGTAAAGATCTTTAAATGATCTATTTATTATGTTAACAATAATAAATCTGCGTGTGTTTATTCAAAACCTGCCAGGGAGTCCAATTCATTTTGGGGTTTGTTTTTGTTTTAATTGATTTGTAAAAAGTTCCCATTCTTCTTTAAAGCCACAGTTGTCCTTGTCTCACAGTTTGTGTGTCAATTTCGCCAGTTCCGCATAGTCCATCAGTTTCCCTTGCCACTCTTCTTTTGCCGGGATTGCCTCATTCTTCCATCCTTGTGCTATCAAGACTCTTGCCCCCATTGTCCCGTACATAAACAAGTTCTTTCATTTCCTTGGCAGGCCTTTCCCTACAACCCCTAACAAAAATGCTTCTGGTTTAACTCTGCGTTTCCCATCTTGAGTCTGCCTGCATGCAAGACTCCTGCTCCCCCCGCCAGCTGTGGCTCCTCCATCCCAAATCTTCCCTTCCCGATTCAGGACGCGCCCAGCTCACCTCAAACAAGGCCATGTTTTTCCCGTCATATTCCTTCCCCTTCTCCAGGTCTGTGCTGTTGATGAAAGGGCTGCTCTCCTTGGGGTTCCCATCGCCTGAAGGGGGGGGGGAGAGAGAGAGATGCATCAGTGCCAGAGGCACGGGGCCATTTTCCTGCCCCCCCTCCCACCCACGTTGCACAGGATTTGCCCCCTGCTTGGCACCCAAATTGCCCCCTGCCCTTGGCTGCTGGAAGCCCATCTTCACGGTCCACCTGCTGCAGAGCTCAAGGTTCTCCGTCCGCAGAGCTCGGACACAACCGGAGCAGGGAGCACCGCCAGCTCTCTGTGGCCTCCCACCAGCAGCGCACACAGGCTGGGATTCCCCTGAGTCGGAAGGGACCCCAAAGCTCCTCTAGTCCAGCCCCTGCAATGCAGGAATCTCAGCTAGAGAATCCTTGGCAGGGGGCCACTTAGGAGAGGCCATGTATCCAGTGAGCTTCATGGCCAAACAGGGATGTGAGCCCAGGTCCTCCAGGTCCTAGTCCAACACTCTCACCACTAGGCCAGGGATGGGGGTAGGCCAGGGTTTTGAGAATGGTATGGCTGCAATATATTCAGAACAAAAAGCTAAACTGATTGTAAATAATGTTGTGACTGAGGAACTTAAGATAGAAAAAGGAACACGACAGGGGTGCCCGATTTCCCCATTACTTTTTATATCAGTTCTGGAGGTGTTGCTGAATATGATAAGAAATGACCAGCAGATCAAAGGGGTGCAGGTCGGAGCTAAACATTATAAGTTGAGAGCGTTTGCAGATGACTTAGTATTGACTTTGCAAGAGCCAAACACTAGCACGAAAAAGGCTTTAGAAATAATACAACAGTTTGGCCAGGTAGCTGGATTTAAGTTGAATAAGCAAAAAACAAAAGTTTTAGGGAAAAATTTAACTGATATGGAAAAGGAGAAATTTCAAGAGGAGACAGGTTTGACAGTGGTTAAGAAGGTGAAATACCTAGGGGTATACTTAACATCTAAAAATTTGAACCTGTATAAGGACAACTATGAAAAATGCTGGTCAGAAATTAAAAGAGATCTAGAAATATGGTCAAATTTGAAATTGTCAATGTTAGGCCGAATTGCAGTGATTAAAATGAATGTATTGCCTAGAATGTTATTTTTGTTTCGGACCTTGCAGATTCTCGACAAGATGGAATGTTTTAAGAGGTGGCAGAAAGATATTTCGAGATTTGTCTGGCAGGGCAAAAAGCCCAGAATTAAATTCAAAATATTGACAGACGCTAAAGAAAGAGGGGGGTTTGCCCTGCCGGACTTAAAATTGTATTATGAGGCAGCAGCTTTTTGCTGGCTGAAGGAATGGATGCTCCTCGAGAACACAGACATCTTGGATCTGGAAGGTTTTAATAATGTTTTTGGTTGGCATGCATATTTATGGTATGACAAAATTAAGCAGCATAGTGCCTTTAAAAATCACATTGTTAGAAAAGCACTGTTTAATGTATGGATGAGATATAAAGATCTGTTGGAAAACAAAACCCCTAGATGGGTGTCACCAGTCGAGGCTAAAGCAGTAAAGAAACTCAATATGGAGGTCGGATGGCCGAAGTATTGGGAAATTTTGGAACAGGATGGAGATAAGTGGAAATTACAAAGCTATGACAAATTGAAGGATAAAGTACAAAACTGGCTTCAATACTACCAAGTAATGGAGCTTTTCAAACAGGATAGGAAAATTGGCTTTCAAGTGGATAAATCAAAACTAGAAATTGAACTGTTAGAACCCAACACTAAGAATTTGTCAAGAATGTATAATTTGTTGCTGAAATGGAATACACAGGATGAAACGGTGAAATCAGCCATGATTAAATGGGCACAAGACATTGGTCATGACATTATGTTTGCCGACTGGGAACAGTTATGGACCACCGGTGTCAAGTTTACGGCATGTAATGCCTTAAGAGAAAACATAATGAAAATGATTTACAGGTGGTACATGACCCCAGTCAAGCTGGCAAAAATTTATCATCTGCCCGATAACAAATGTTGGAAGTGTAAAGAGACTGAAGGTACCTTCTACCACCTTTGGTGGACATGCCCGAAGATTAAGGCCTTCTGGGAAATGATCTATAATGAAATCAAAAAGGTACTCAAGTGTACCTTCTCGAAAAAACCAGAGGCCTTTCTCTTGGGCATTGTCGGCCAATTGGTGACAAAGAGGGATAGAACTTTCTTTATGTATGCTACAACAGCAGCAAGAATACTCATCGCAAAGTATTGGAAGACCCAAGATCTACCCACTTTGGAAGAATGGCAGATGAAAGTGATGGACTATATGACATTGGCCGAGATGACAGGCAGAATCCGTGACCAACGAAAAGAGACGGTGGAAGAAGAATGGAGAAAATTTAAAAGTTATCTTAAGGACTACTATAAACTTAATGAATGCTAAAATGTTGCGGTTTCCAGAAATAAAGGGATACAGGGATATAAGGTTAGAAATTTAAAAAAGGACTAAGAAGATAGAGATTGGAAAATAACAATTGGGAGTTGCTAGTTGAACTTTGGACACTGGGATGCAGAGAGGGGGGGTATGGGGAAGTCAAAGGAAAGAAGTTTATGAAAATATGTTTGAAACTATACGTGTATGTTTGTCATTTTTGGTGTTTGTTTGTTTTTTGTTTAAAAAGTTTCTAAAACCAATAAAAATTTTATTAAAAAAAAAAAAAAAAAGAGATGCATCAGTGCCAGAGGCACGGGGCCATTTTCCTGCCCCCCCTCCCACCCACGTTGCACAGGATTTGCCCCCTGCTTGGCACCCAAATTGCCCCCTGCCCTTGGCTGCTGGAAGCCCATCTTCACGGTCCACCTGCTGCAGAGCTCAAGGTTCTCCGTCCGCAGAGCTCGGACACAACCGGAGCAGGGAGCACCGCCAGCTCTCTGTGGCCTCCCACCAGCAGCGCACACAGGCTGGGATTCCCCTGAGTCGGAAGGGACCCCAAAGCTCCTCTAGTCCAGCCCCTGCAATGCAGGAATCTCAGCTAGAGAATCCTTGGCAGGGGGCCACTTAGGAGAGGCCATGTATCCAGTGAGCTTCATGGCCAAACAGGGATGTGAGCCCAGGTCCTCCAGGTCCTAGTCCAACACTCTCACCACTAGGCCACACTGCCTCTTAATTTCACTTACAGACCCTCCAAGTATCCCTGTTTTCCAGGGACAGCCCCGGATTTACAGAAGCCATCCAGGTTTCTGATCTGATCCCGAACGTCCTGCTTTTCCTTAGGCATAGCTGTCAACGTTTCACTTTTTTTAAGGGAAATTCCCTTATTCTGAATAGGATTCCTCGCAAGAAAAGGGAAAAATTGACACCTATGTCCTTAGGACATCTCTATTTTCATTGGAGATGGGTATGGAGTTATGCGACCCCCAGCCAAGGAGATAAGTGACTATACAACCTTCAAAAGACATCTGAAGGCAGCCCTGTATAGGGGTTGTTTTTTTTTAAAAAAAGTTCAATGTTTTATTATATTTTTATATATGTCGGAAGCCCCCCAGATGGGCAACATACTAATAATTTTTTAATCAAAATACAAACAACAATAAACCGTAAAATTATATTTTATTTTTCAAAATAAATCCTCCAGTAAGATGGAAAACAATGATTATTTGGATATACTTCCACTTTATTTATTTCTGTGGTGTCCCCCCCCCCCCTTTGAGGCCCTCAGCACAGGCTTGTTTTCCTTATGGTTCATCCAGCCCTGATTCAGCCATAAAAAGTGGGCTTCCCCAGGGGGACACTGGGGGTGTGAATGAGCCCTCATCATGCATTAGCTGAAAAAGAAGAGGAAAAGCCTTTGCACTCAGAGGAGACCTTCCTTTCTGAAGGCCAATGGTTTGGCTCCTCTAGCTTTCCAGGCCAGAAGGTGGACGTGTATTTTTGGGCTGATGGGAGCTGCTTGGCAGAAGCAGAAGAGGGAGGGAGGGAGGGAGAATCCAGAAGGTTTGGCCTTAGCAGCCAAGTTCTGGGTCAAGATTTTTGAGCAGAGCAAGTGCCGCAGAATGAGAAGCAAGATCTCTCCTTCAAGGGCTGGGACACGGAGACCCTCCCTTCTCATCTAAGAGTCTTGCAGATTTATTCATCTCATTGTGCAACAGAACTTGTTCCATTAACCTGAATTAACTTTGTGTGTGATTAATAATAATAATAATATAATTTAAATAACAATTTCTTATTTACACCCCACCCATCAGAAACAATGGCTTCGACCTTCGCTTTCCTTCCTTGAGCAAACCCAAGGCTCAGATCCAACACTCCCGTTCCGCTCACGTAGTCAACTTCCACTTTAGTAATGGAAGCTCCCTTTACTGCCCCCTGCAGACCCCCCAACGTGTGGGGAGAGGGAGAAAGCCCCACTGCACAGCTGAGGTGCTGCCTGAGCACCACTGAATACAATCCTAAGTGCAGCTCTTCCTGTCTCCCCTGAAGCTAAATGGGTCAGGATCCGGGTCTGGTCAACCTCTGGGCAGGAGATGACTGCTTGGGAATCCCACTGTACTTCCATGCTGTGAACTGCCCTGTGGTCTTTGGATGAAGGACGGTATACAAGTTTGATAAATAAAATCAAAATAATAAAGTAATAGGCAAATCAATAATTGAGGCAAAATTTAGGGCTCCTCCATGTTCCCACTTCCCCCGTGCTTAGAGGCTGTGGGCCTTGGGGGGGGGTATTCTGCTTGATAATGAAATGATGATGATGGTGATGATGATGATGATTTAGACCCCGCCCATCTGGCTGGGTTTCCCCAACCAAGCATGGCTCCAAGCAGTCCCCCCCCCCCCCGATCTACTCCTTTCACAGGGAAAACTTGCTCTCTAACTCTCAATTGGAGGAAATGTCAGTCCAGAGAAAACCCGAATTGCCATTTGCTCTGACTGCAGTGGGGCAAGAGGAAGGGTGGGGGAACTCTTAGTTCCATGATGGGGGGAAATGGGACGTAAATGGAAAACGACTCATCCTGAGGTTGGGAGCATAGCTGTCAACTTTTCCCTTTTCTTGCGAGGAATCCTATTCGGAAAAGGGAATTTCCCTTTAAA